TTTTCCCTTGTGCTTTTTTGTTTTTGCGCTACACCTTGGTTGTGCTCAGGGATCATTCCTGGCCATGCTCGGGGACTATATGGGTTTCCAGGCATTGGACCTGGGTGGACTGTGAGCAAGGCAAGCACCTTACCTGCTGCATTCTCTCCACCCCCTAAAAATCTTTATTTTTAAAGACTATGGGTGGGGTGTGTGGGGGATGGGGCCACACCCAGTGTTTCTCAAGGGCTGCTCTAGGCTCTGTGCTCAAGGGTCATTCCTGGCAGTGCTCAGGGCTTACTCCTAACTCTACTACACTCAGGAATCACTCCTGGCAGGGCTTGCGTGACCATTTTGGGTACCAGCCATACCCCAGGTCAGCCACATACAAGGCAAGTACCTTCTCCACTGAAAGGCTCCAGTCCCAAGGGACAGGTTCTTTTTGTTTTATTTTAATATAGGAGTACTGCTATTTATTCATCCACTGATTAAGCTGATTTAAGCAGGTATGAATAACGCATTACATTTTTAAAAAATTGGGGGGGCTGGAACAATAGCACAGCAAGTAGGATGTTTGCCGTGCACGCGGCTGACCCGCATTCGATTACCAGCATCCTATACGGTCCTCTGAGCATTGCCAGGGGTAGTTCCTGAGTGCAGAGCCAGGAGTAACCCCTGTGCATAGCCGGGTGTGACCCAAAAAGAAAAAAATAATTTAAAATTTTCAGTTGTTCACAATAATTTTATTGTTTACATCCAATATTTCAACACCAAATCCCACCACCATTGCAACTTTCCATCATTACTTTGAATTTTACGACCATCACCCCAGCCTCTTAGGCAGATGCTAATTTATTTTGCTGCTTGCCATAAGGTGTCACCGAAAGTGGCCGTGCTCTCCTGGAATTCTAAAATTTTTAAATATCTGGGGTCTGGAGGCATCTCTGTGGTGCACTGCTCTCTTCTGAGATCCATTTGTGAGTCTAAATCATGGCCATTGATGCACTTAAACAGCTTGCTTTGGATCTCTTTCGTGATTTATTTATGAGTCTCTGAAGCAAGGCCAATAAATGAGCTTGTATAGCTGAGCTGGAGGTGGTTTGTGGGTGTGGCTCCCACATACCTAACTTTTGGCGGTTTATTTTCTCAGGAAACTTGGTCCCACGTTGTTGGGGTCTGGCCAGAGGCACAGCAGCAATTCTGGGGTATCTGGAAGCCTGAAGTCATCATCGGGATGCTGAGGGGTATCTGGAAGCCTGAAGTCATCATCGGGATGCTGATACACTTGCCCCACAGGTACAGGTTGAGCTGCTCTGCAGCACTGTCCCGTAAGGACAGTTCTTGTCAAAGACCCTGGACCTAGTTTCAGTCCTCAGAATCAGGTCTTTCTTCCATTTCTCTGGAGGTAGGCACTAAGTTAAACGGGCTGCTTCCCAACGGGGAAATAAAAACCCTTTTCCTGGGAATTCTAGCTTCAGGAGAAGGTGTTTTCTGTGGGATTTTTTCCATTTATGCTGGTTCTTTTAGTGCCCAGTGCCAGTCGTTCATTTTAGAGATGGGGTGCCTGGCCAGAAAGACAGTACAGCGGGTAGGGCACTTGCATTGCATATGATCCACATGGTTTCGATCCCTGATAGACGATATGGTCTCCTGAGCACTACCAGGAATGATTCCTGAGTACCACTGGGTGTGGCAATCTCCTTTCCCACAAAAAGGTGTGTGTGGGGCAGAACAAGGTGCTCAAGAAAAAAAGTATTAAAGTACTCAGATCTGGCTAATTTTTGCTAAATGGGGTCATGTGGGCTAAGGTTAGGGGCACCTGGTGGTACTCGGGGGACCATACAAGATGTCAGGGATTGAACCCAGGTCAGCTGCAAGGTTGAAGCCCTATGCCCTACCAGCTGTACTACTGCTCCAGCCCCTCCCTGACCAACAATCATCTCTTCCCAAGAGCCTTAACTGCACATATAAAATCCCTTGGTCAAAGGAAGTCAAACACGCCTAAGTTTTGGGGACGCAGCAATTGGGGCTATTATTCAACTTCCCACAACGATCCCCATGATGAACTTGAAAGTTCATGAATATCAAAACAACAGCACAGCAGAACTAGGTAAAAAGATTGGGCTTCTGCAACAGATAACATGTTGGGTGGCTTAAACTACAAACATGGATTTCTCAGACCTGCAGTCTGGTGGGACTCACGTGCTGGCTGAGACAGCTGTGATCTCATTGCACCCTCAAGTGGGGCAGGAGGAGGGCAGGTGCTTTCCACACTCTTCAGTGAGGGCACTAATGCCATTGTGAGGGATCCACCTTCAAGGGGTGAAGGGTGGCAAACAGACCATCTGTCTAGCATATCAGAATTTCAGTGGGGATTTAGGCCCTTCAAAATAAGCTGAATAATCTCTAGGTCACCATCTGCCTCAGCTGTCTTGACAGCTGTAGGGGCCTATTCTGAGGGTTATAAGGAAATCTTGGCTCTAAGTGAATCCTGAGAAACCAAAGGTCTCTTAGTGTTGTTGGGGTTTCTGGCAAAACCAGAGTGCAGACTAGGTACTAAACATTTGATCAGAATAAATTCAGAGAGTGAACTCCTAAGAAACTGCTACTGTAAGCTCTGTAGAGAACACTTCAGTGGATCTGTTGGGGGGAGAGGATTCCATCAGTACAAAGAAAGCGAATACTGGGTCAGATAGTGGGCAAACATCACAAGTTTATATAATGTTAGAATGCAATGTAGGGCTATAAGGAAACACAATAGTGGAACAACGAATACCCAAGCAATGGAAACAAAGAACACGAGGACTGGTACTTAGTAGGATAGATGCCACTTGAGGCGGAGGGAGGTAATGCCTATGGTAGAAGGAAACCTTCAACTGGGACAAAGGAGGTGGTGCTGTGAGGGCGTAAAATGTTATGTGTGATTCTAAGGGAAAAGGGAGCTCAGATAGAGGTAGGAGCACCAAATAAAGGGTGTTGGGAGGATCCTCCCAGGATGGGAGAAGCATGCTGAAAGTAGACTCTACACTGCCCTGCCACAGAGGCAGGGTGGGATGGGGGGACGGGGTGTGGGAGGGATACTGGGACCTGTGGTGGTGGGAAATGGGCACTGGTGGAGGGATGGGTGTTTGATCATTGTACAATTGAAACTCAAGCACAAAAATTTGTAAATCTACAACTGTACCTCATGGTGTTTCACTAACAAAAATTAAAAAAAAAAGTAAATGATGGAGAATGGGCACTGGTGGAGGGATGGGTACGGGATCATTGTATAACTGAAACCCAAGCACAAAAATTTGTAAGTCTACAACTGTACCTCATGGTGTTTCACTAATAAAAATTAAAAAAAAAAAACGTTATGTATAAAACCCTATTTAACAGCTACAGTACTGTACACGACAGCACAAAATAAGGCTCTTGTTAGCAGCAGACTGGTGGGTGGGAGGCAAATGGATGATAGAAAAGAGTGGAGGGCACTTGCTTTGCAAGCAGACAGTCCTGGTTGAATCCCCACACATTCCAAATGGTCCCTCGACCAGGAGTGATCCTAGTGCAGAACTAGGAGGAACCCCGGAGCATCAAAAAATATTCAATGCTACTTTGAAAGAGAAAGAAAAAGGAGGGAGGCCCTTCGGGAGGGAGGGAAAGGAGGAGGAGGGAAATATGGGTCTGTCTCACCTGAACTAAAATTTCACCCCTTCAGATAAGACAGTGTCATCCATGTAGTGGGCATTTTTGCGATGACAACTCTCAAAACTCTCTTAAATCACAGTATTTTTTCTTTTCGCTTTGTTTAGGTAGTTGCAATTGTGTCAAAGTCTATGATTATTGAGGGTTGGAAATAAAGTAAGGTACTTACCATGCACAAAGCTGACCTGTTTCAATCCTGAGCACCCCATATGGTCCCTCGAGGACCAAGGACCACCAGTTGATCTCTGAGCACAGAGCCAGGAGTAACTCACAAGCACTGCTACGTGTGACCAAAACCAAGTACTGTATAAATGACTGCACGTCACCACCAGAATGCCTATGACCTACCATTGTCCCCAAGTCACCTCTAGCTGGTCTTCCTTTCTCTCCGCTCCCTCGACTACTGGATTTTGTAATCCACTATCAATAGTTTGTGTTGCTGGTTCTGTCTGTTCTCTTGTTCCATTCTCATATATGCCATAGATGAGTGAGACCATCCAATTTTTGGATGACACTATTTTTAATATGAACTGGTTGTCCTGTTTAGGGTGTGGAGGTGTAATTCTGGGACAACCTTTCACCAGTCTCCTTGCAAGAGTTGCTTTACCTCTTCCTTGTGTTGGATCTGAAGAGCACAGCCATTCTCCAGGTACTGTTTAAGGGAAGATACTCATCGGGAGCTGGCAGTAGCTGGCCCAGAGTACAGCTGTTCCCAAGTCACAGCTGGAAACAGGCATTCTTGGGCCTATAGCTGAGAATGGGCACCCCAGCTGAGCCCTGCCTATTAGGCTGTGATTTGGAGTAGCCACCCCTAAACTCATATTTACAAACACAAAATCTAGTAGCTCAGCAATCAGCTCACCGGACAGCTGTGATGGGAAAAGTGCACACATTCTCTGGTCACTGCTCAAGTGGCCTTCGGGGAGTCATGTCAGTCACCAGCCACAAGCAACTGTAAGCCCAGCAGAGCCAGGCCAGTCAGACCTCAGGTGCTGTAGCAGCTTCAGGGCACAGGCGCCATAACCCTCTGTAGCTGTCCACACTCGTACAACTCAGAACCACAGGCACCAGGATGAGTTTCTACATGATGAAAAATTCTTTCAAGGCGTCTGTGGCTATAGAAATCAGAGTCTCCAGTGCCAGCTTGATCTTGTGACTCAAAATGAAACTTATAGAGGCTGGGAAAATAGTGCAGATGCTGCCTTCCACACAGCTGGCCCTAGTTTGATCCCCTGTACCACATGGTCCCTCAACATCACTGGGCATGGCCCAAACCCTGCCCCCAACAACTACAAACTGATCTTATGATGTAATTATTTTAAAGTCACACGTTGAAATTATAAAATGTTTATTGTCCAAGCACCCCTTCCCCCAAAACAATTCACACCAAGTTGAAGTTTTTATGTAAAAACAGAACATAACAGTCCACAACCTATAGTCTCTTAACCATTGGTGATTTCCAAGAGAGGCTGCTTCCGTCACAGCTTAGAGGTGATCTTCTGTAAGAGCCGAACATACCTTCCTTTCAACCTAAATTGTCTTTTCAGAAATCTTGCCGGATGTTTTCTTTATTTGCTTCTCCATGCTGTTGCTTCATTTGAAAGACTTCATTTTCTAATTGCACTATAGTTCTTTCAATCTCATAGTTTTTACTGACCAGGGAGACCCAACTACAGAAGAAATGTAAAACAAAAAAAGGAAAACAAAGCAGCATGAAATTTCTCATGAAAGACTACTGTAGAAACATTTTCAGCTGGGGCTGTAACACAAATTTTCACTTTTTAAGTATCCAGTTTACTAGTATTTTTGTTTTGGGGCCACACCCACTGATGCTCAGAGGTCACTCCTCACTCTGCACTCAGGAATCACTTCTAGTAGTGCTTAGGGAACCATATGGGATCAAACCTAGGTTGGCAGCATGCAAAGTATGCACCTTACCTGCTGTAAAATCCCTCTGACCCTTAAGTGTGCCAAAAGAGGCATATGGGGGAAAAAGAAAAAAAAGAACTGCTTGAGAACTGTATCACTTCTTTTTTTGTGGGGTGGAGGTGGCCAAACCCAGCTGTGCTCAGGAATCACTCCTGGTGGGGGTTGGGGCACCATATGGAGTGCCAGGAATTGAACCCAGGTCAATTGTGTACAGGGGAACTAAATTCCTTACCTACTGTATTATCACTCCATCCCCCTGTATTCTTGTAATTGGGTAACTGTGAATCTACTAAGGTCTCAAAATATAAAGTTTAATAAAAGCAAGTTAGAATAAGTCAAAGTAGGAGTGATGAAAACTTGCTTTTTTTTCTTTTTTGGACCACAGCTGGCAATGCTCCAGGGTTTACTTGTAGCTCTGCACTCAAGAATTATCCCTGGTGGTGCTTGGGGGACCATACGGAATGCTGGGAATCAAACCTGGGTCAGCTGTGTGCAAGCTAATGCTCTATCCACTGTACTATTATTCCAGCCCGATGAAGATTTTTTTTTTTTTTTTTTTTTGCTTTTTGGGTCACACCCGGCGATGCTCAGAGGTTACTCCTGGCTCATGCACTCAGGAATTACTCCTGGCGGTGCTCGGGGGACCATATGGGATACTGGGAATCGAACCTGGGTCGGCCATGTTGGCTGCGTGTAAGGCAAACGCCCTACACACTGTGCTATCACTCCAGCCCCCCAATGAAGACATTTTTGATTAATTTCTGAGTGCAGACCCAAACACTGCCAGGTATGGCTCCAAAACCTAAATAAATAAATTCAATGATTTGCATTATGTTCAAAGAACATTTTTAATATTTTTGGTTACTGGTCACAGCTGGCTTAACTCAAGGATAACTCCTGGTTGTGTTCAGACATCACTCATGGCAGTGCTTGGGGACTACATGTGGTGCTGAGGATCAAACTTGGGTTGGCAAGTACCCTATACTACTGCTCCAGCCCCTGAGGAATATTTTAAAAACAAAGACACAGGGTCAGGGAGATGGCACAAAGGAGCACAGCTCTGCATGTGGGAGCCCAGGACCTGATTTCCTGCACTTCATGGGCCCTTGAAAGCAGCCAGGACTGATCTGGAGCACTGAGGTAGGAAGAGTCCCAGCACTATAGAGTGTGACCTTTCCCGGTTAAAATAAAAAGACAAAAGCAAAAGGCTGAAAAAGGAAACATGCACTGTTAAGGAAATAAGGTATCCCCTTCCAACAAGAGTTCAAAACTTTGTCAAGCCAGGGGACGATTCGGTGGCTTAGAACGTATGTTGGGGGGTGGGGGGGGTACGGTGCCGCCAGCAGGTCAATCTGTACCTGTGAGGCAAATGCATAAGTAGCCTGATGGCGCCTTCAGACTTCCAGATACTCCAAAATTGCTGCTGTGCCTTTGGCCAGACCCCCTAAACTGGGGGCAAAGTTTACAAGAAAGTGAACGGCCAAAAGTTAGGTATGTGGGAGACACATCCACAAACCACCTCGGGCTCAGCTATGTAATTGGAGGCATGGCCTCTCTGGCTCCTGATCAAGCTGCTTAATGGCCATGATCCCAGAGACTCAGAAACAAATCTTGAAACCCAGCGGCTTTTGGCAGAAATGCATCTGGACCCAGCAGTAGGTTACTGTCGCTGGGGCCATTCCAGGGGGGAAAGGGTGCTGTCCCTCTGCCTGCTCCCCCTTGGCGGCTCGGTGGCTGCCATCCTCCAGAGGCCATTGGACAGTCAGGTTTGGGCACTCAGTGACAAGACATGCAGGGCCTCACGGGATGGGGGTGGAGCCGGCCCTTTCCTCCCCATCCCAACAAGACCCCAGTCACTGCCCACGAACGGCCTCTCTAGCTCCTTATCAAGCTGTTTAATGGCCATGATCCCAGAGACTCAGAAACAAACCTCGAAACCCTGTGGCTTTTGGTAGCAATCCCTCCAGATTTAAGTGTTAAAATTTCAGAATTTCAAAATTGCGTGGCCACTACTGCAGCCACGCGATATCATATATTATTCTTAACCAGCAATAGAAAACAAATTGTCTACTGTTGCCTTTTCGGCAGATCTGAGCGTTGGGGTAAAATCCCAAATAGTAATAGTGGGTCTAGTGTCAAAATATTGAATGTGATCAAAATAGAGAGAGAGTAAAATGGAAATCATCTGCCACACAAGTAGGGGGAGGGTGTGGGATGGGGGTATACTGGGGTTTTTGGTGGTGGAGAATGGGCACTGGTAAAGGTACGGGTGTTTCATTGTATGACCGAGACTTAAACCAGAAAGCTTTGTAACTGTTCTCACAGTGATTCAATAAATAAAGCTACTAAAAAAAAAAAAGACTATGTTGGAACCTGCAGCTCTGCTGTGACCTCTGTTACCATAAGCAACTTCTGGTCTCTCCACAACAGGTATGTGCACACTCCACTGAGGGGCCACTGTGAAAGATTGGCGAGCACTATGTCTGGAAAGAAGGGTCCCCCTGGGGTATGAAGAACGACTTAACACTGCAGGTTCTGAGCAGCACCTGAGCTAGGTGTGTGCAAGACCTCCAATCAGTACAGAAACAGTAACTAGAAGAAAAAAAGTGTGGAAAAGCAAGTGTGTTTCCTTAAGGGCAGACAACAGAGTCCCATTCTTAGGGAAGAAACTCACTGAAAACCAGCCACTCTTGAGACTAGAATCCACTACCTTGTTTATTTATAAACTCCTGGCTAAAAAAGCAAAATCAAAAAGACCCTCAAAACTCATGGCTTTGGCCCAGCAATACCACTCCTGGGAATATATCCCGGAGAGGCAAAAAAGTATAGTTGAAATGACATCAGCACTTGTATGTTCATTGCTGCACTGTTCACAATTGCCAAAATCTGGAAAAAAAAACCCGAGTGCCCAAGAACAGATGAGTAGTTAAAGAAACTTTGGTATATCTACACAATGGAGTACTATGCAGCTGTTAGAAAAGATGAAGTCATGAAATCTGCATACAAGTGGTTCTACATGGAAAGTATCATGCTAAGTGAAATGAATTAGAAAGAGAGGGACAGACATAGAAAGACTGCATTCATCTGGGGAATATAAAGTAACAGAATGGGAGACGATCACCCAAGAATAGTTGAGATAAGTACTAGGAGGTCTGCTCCATGGTTTGGAAGCTGGCAGCAGATGCTGGGGGAAAAGGCAGCTTAGATAGAGAAGGGAACACCAAGTAAAGGGTGTTTGGATGGTTCGCTTGGGATGCGAGATGCGTGCTGAAAACAGACTATAGACTGAACACGATGGCTACTCAATACCTCTACTGCAACCCACAACACCCTAAAGGAAAGAGAGCAAAAGGGAATGCCCTGCCACAAAGGAGAGGTGGGGTGGGAGGGATGGGGTGGGGGGACGGGAGGGCTCCTGGGTTTATTGGTGGTGGAGAATGGGCACTGCTGAAGGGATGGGTACTCAATCATTGTATAACTGAAAGCCAAACACGAAAATTTGTAAGTCTACAACTGTACCTCATGGTTTTTTACTAATTAAAAACAAAAAACAAAAAAAACCCTCATGGCTGTGGAAAATCATCCTTAAGAGGCACTGAAATGCCATGTATCTTCTCCCATTCCTGGGGCACAGGTGCTAGCAGCCACGCATACATTAAGCGTGCACTGAAGTGCATACTGAAGCATGCCAATGCCACCCTCCTGGCCCCTTCAAGCTCTATTTGAGGAACCTGAAAGAGCTCAACAGCTCCAGGCAGGCTTCGTCTTGAGACCACTTTTCAAAACTTCGAGAAATTTTAATGCAACTCAGGGTGTGTAAACTACCTACGAAAGCAACATTTGCTGATTAAAAAAATTACTTTAGAAGTTTTTTTTTTTCCCTTCTGAAACCAGCTAGGCCCCAGTCTGATCCTTGGTACTACATGGTCCCCAAATACTGCTAGGGGAAACTTATGAGTGCAGAGCCAGGAGTAGCCCTCAAGCACCTCTATGTGGCTCAACCTGACCCCACAAATAAAACCCCGCAAACATCAAGTTTTCACAACTCCCACATTCAGTGACATGTCCCTGCAGAGGATTGTGATTCAGTTCAGGCAAAGTCTATACACTGCCACTGTCACAGGCTGAGTGGTGCTGAGAGCTTGGCCGTGTTCATCACAGGGACAAAGCTCAGAAGACAGCTCAGTGTTTACAAAATACCCAGGGACACGTAGGGCCCTGAGCACCAGCTCCAGTGCTGCTCATGCTCCCACGATACTAACTGCCCTACAGCCCACGGTCACTAGCAAGGGAAAATAATTCAAAAGGGGCTGGGGTGACAGTTCAAAGGGGAATAATACATGCCCGGCAGGCTTGAGACCCCAAGTCTGGTCCCTGGCACTGCTGGACCACGGGCCGAACACCTAGTAGGGATGTCTGGCACTGCTCTGTCAAGTGGTCCCCCGGCTCTCAGGAACAGTTGGAAGGTATCCTTCCTCTCCAGAATGAACACATATTATTTAAATCATATTAATTTTCCATCTTAAAATATCTAAGCAGGGGTAGGGAGACAGTGCAAGGGTGGCCAAGAACTGGAGTCTGAGGTTCCATTCCAACACTACACAGCCCCCGAAAAAAAAAAAAGTGCTAAGCATCATAAAATATAATAAAATTGTGGGTACTTACTTTGACTCCATTTCTCTTAATTTAGATCCAGCTGTGAGCTGCATGTTCTTTCGCTGCCAGTTTAAATCTTGAATATGTTTCCTGTAGAAAATTATTTATGCAATTTAACTGCATTTTAACACAAGGCTAAAATTAACAGAAATAACTATCACCAATCAACACATGCTTAATCCCTTGAGAACATCAGTCATACACTAATTTCAGGAATTAACTTTCTCCTGATTTTTTTTCATTTATAAATTTCAAAAAGGCCAGGGAGATAGCTCAACACGCTGAGGTTGGAGGCTGGAGAGATAAGCCCTGCAAACAGCAACCTGGGTTTAATCCCTGGTACCCCATAAAGTCCCCCAATACTGCCAGAAATAAGTGTGCCCTGAGCACCAGAGTATGGCCCAAAAACCAAACAAACAGCTGAGGTCATGCTTTGTGTGCAAAAGGCAGGGATTCAATCTCATGTACAAGTAACCATGAGCACTGCTGGGAATAGCTGTAGAGTTCAACCAGTGCTTTGTATATCCTTGATATCAATGCCTTATCAGATGGGTATTGGGTAAATATCCTTTCCCATTTTGTAGACTGTCTTTGTATTCTGGTAACTGTATGGTTTTTTTTTTTTTGTTTTATTTTTTTTCTTTTTGGGTCATACCCAGCAATGCACAGGGGTTATTCCTGGCTCATGCACTCAGGAATTACTACTGGCAGTGCTCGGGGGACCATATGGGATGCTGGGAATCGAACCAGGGTCGGCTGCGTGCAAGGCAAACGCCCTACCCGCTGTGCTATCTCTCCAGACCCCTGGTCACGGTATGTTTTGAGGTGCAGAAGCTTCTTAGTTTAAGACTGTCCCATTTGTTTATCTCTGTTTCCACTTGGTTGGTCAGTGGAGTGTCGTCTTTGAAGATACCGTTAGCTTCAATATCGTGGAGGGTTTTGCCAACCTTGTCTTCAATGTATCTTATGGATTTTGGCCTGATGTTGAGATCTTTAATCCATTTAGATCTGACTTTTGTGCATGGTGTTAGGTTGAGGTCTAAGCCCATTTTTTTTGCAAGTGGTTGTCCAGTTATGCCAGCACCGTTTGTTGAAGAGGCTTTCCTTGTTACACTTCACATTTCTTGCTCCCTTATAAAAGATTAGATGTTGACACATTTGAGGCTGTGTGTATGGATATTCCACCCTGTTCCATTGGTCTGTGGCCCGGCTTTGTTCCAGTACCTTTGTTTTAATTACCACTGCTTTGTAGTAGAATTTGAGATTGGGGACAGTAATGCCTCCCCACGTCTTTTTTCCAAGAATTACTTTAGCTATTCAGGGGCGTTTGTTGTTTCATGTGAATTTCAGGAGTGCTTGATCTATTTCTTTGGAGAATTTCATGGGTATCCTTATAGGGATTGCATTGAATCTGTATAATGCTTTCGGGAGTATTGTCATTTTGATGATGTGGATTCTTCCTAACCATGAGCAGGGGATATGTTTCCAATTCCTCATGTCCTCTTTTATTTCATGGAGTAGCGTATTGTAGTTTTCATTGTAGAGGTCCTTTACCTCTTTAGTTAAGCTGATTGTGAGCTATTTGATTTTTCTGGGGTACAATTGTGAACGGGATTATTTTTTTCATGTCACTTTCCTCTCATTATTTGCATATAGGAAGGCCATGGATTTTGGGGCACTGATTTTATAGCCTGCGACTTTACTATACAAGTCTATTGTTTCTAGTTTCTTGGCAGAGGATTTAGGATTCTCGAGATATAGTATCATATCATCAGCGAATAGTGAGAGCTTGATTTCTTCCTTTTCTATCTGGATGCCTTTATTGTATTTTTCTTGCCTAATCGCTATTGTAAGTAAAGGTAAAGGTAAAGGCCCTCCCGTTGATCATCGATTTGCTCGAGCGGGCCCAGTAACATCTCCATTGGAGACTTTGTTGTTACTGTGTCTGGCATATTGAATACTCTCGGTAGCTTGCCGGGCTCTCCGAGAGGGGCGGAAGAATCGAACTCGGGTCGGCCATGTTGGCTGCGTGCAAGGCAAATGCCCTACCCGCTGTGCTATCGCTCCAGCAAGTGGTGGTATGGGAATCCATGTCTTGTCCCTGATCTTAGAGGAAAGGCCCTTAATTTTACCCCATTGAGGATTCCTGCAATTGCTTTGTTGTAGATGGCTTTAACGATCTTAAGGAAAGTTCCTTCAAAACACTTTTTGGTGAGAATTTTCATCATAAACGGGTGCTGGATCTTGTCAAAAGCTTTCTCTGCATCTATTGATATGATCATACGGTTTTTATCTTTACTTTTGTTGATATGATGATATAGTGATTGATTTCTGAATGTTAAACCCTCCTTGCATGCCCAGGATGAATCCCACTTGGTTGTGGTGTATGATCTTTTTTATGAGTTGTTGGATTCTATCTGCTATTATTTTGTTAAGGCTCTTCGCATTCGTGTTCATCAGGGATATTGGCCTATAGTTTTCTTTGTTGGTGGTGTCTTTGTTTATTTTTGGTATTAGGGAGGGTCAGGTGAATGAGACCAGTTGTATTTACTGGTTTTGGCCGACAAAATCTCAAGGCCGACCTAGGCAGCCACAACGAAGGAAGACAAAAATGATCGTCTGTACTTTCAATGCACGTACACTAGCATCAGATGCATCCATCGAGGACCTGATGGTACAAGCGCAAATGATCAAGTGCGACAACATTGGTCTGACCGAGACAAGGCACGAATCTCACCATGCCGTTTTCGACACTGGAGAAGAATTGTTCCTCGGAACATGCGATAAAAGAGGTGTCAGAGGCGTCGGTGTCCTTGTCAACACAAACTTGGCCAAAAGCATTGATTCATTCAAATGCCTAACAACCCGAATCGGACGTTTACATTTGAATAGATGTGGCTCACTGCCTGCAGTTTCTATCTTCGTTGTCTACGCACCAACATCCAATTATGATGAAGGAGAAATTGAGAAGTTCTACATGGAGCTGGAGAAGTTCTATAAAGAAGACCGCACCTTCTACAAGATCATTGTGGGTGATTTTAACGCCAAGATAGGACCGAGAAGATCAGCTGAAGAACTTCACATCGGGACCCATGGCCCAGAATGGAACGAACAGGGTGAGAGACCGTCTGAGTTCATCATGTCGACCAAGACCATCCATGGTAACTCACAGTTCCAGAAGGCAGAATCTAAACGATGGACATGGGAGTCTCCTGGTAGACGATTTCACAACGAAATAGACCACATCATATTCAATCGACGGTTTTGCCTGACTGATGTCGCTGTTGTCCCAAAATTTCGAACGGGATCGGACCACCGTCTCCTTTGTGCAAAATTCTACTTCACAGAGTGGGGAAAAGGGGCTGCAAAGTTCAAAAAGAGAACTCCCAGAATGACCACCAACTGGGAACTCTTTGGCACTATTGTGGCAACATGGGAAGATGCCATTGTTGACAACATTGACGAGGAATACGATCGACTGGTTCAGCACCTCCATGAATGTGCGAGGAACGCCAAGGGAGAGATAGCCACAAAAAATCGCCTATCTACAAAAACTCTTGAGCTAATTCGCCAGCGTGGTTTGGCGCATGCCTCAGGCAACTGCAAGCTAACGTCCGAGCTCGCAAAGCAGTGCAGAGATGCGATCAAGGAAGACCTCAAAGAGAGAAGAGCAGAAGTACTGGTAGATGCAGCAGAAGCCGGGAAAAGTATTCATAACGCCCTTCTGTCCTTCGCCAACTACAAGACCAAGATGACTGCCCTCCGACGTCCTGATGGATCCATCACATCCTCCAGAACGGCAATGGAGAAGATTATCCATGACTTCTACTCAAATCTCTTCGATAGCCATGTCCACTTGCCGACATACCAAATTCCACAGGATGGATATGTCGTTCCCAATGTTCTCCCTTCCGAAATCCGACACGCCATTTCATCGGTAAAGAAACAAACAGCACCCGGCCCAGATAAGGTCAGACCTGAACACCTGAAGAACCTGCCGTCAGTACTCATCAATACACTGGCTCGGCTCTTCACTCGCTACCTGTCTGAATGCAAGGTTCCGTCCCAATGGAAAACCAGCAGGACTGTACTACTGTTCAAGAAGGGAGACATCCATGACATTGGCAACTATCGCCCGATCTGCCTATTGTCTGTCATCTACAAGTTGTTCACTCGAGTCATACTGAATAGGATTGGCAGAACACTAGATGAAGGACAACCATGCGAACAAGCCGGGTTCCGCAAAGGATTCAGCACCATCGACCATATCCACACGATAACCAAGCTCATTGAGGTTTCTCGGGAGTTCAAGATGCCGCTCTGCTTAACGTTCATTGATTTAAAGAAGGCCTTTGATTCTGTTGAGACAGAAGCGGTCATTGAAGCCCTAGCCAATCAGGGCATTCAAGCCCAATACATCAAGATCCTCCGTGAGCTGTATTGTGGATTCACTACCAGGATCTCACCATTCTACAAAGAAGTGATCGTTGATGTCAAGAGAGGGGTGCAGCAGGGTGATACCATTTCACAGAAACTCTTCAGTGCCACCCTCGAGAACATCATGCGACGACTGGAATGGGAAGGAATGGGAGTGAAGATAGATGGTCGGCAACTACACCACCTCCGCTTTGCTGAAGACATTGTTTTAATAACACCAAACATCAGCCAAGCGGCACAAATGCTGGCCGACTTTGACCGTGAGTATGGAAAGGCAGGACTACAGCTGAATCTTATGAAGACAATGTTCATGAGAAACAGCCTCGTTCCTGATGCCCCATTCGCTCTCAATGGAACGACCATCTCTGAATGCAACAGCTATGTGTACCTAGGTCGAGAAGTCAACATGACAAATGACCTGGCACCCAAGCTGCGCAGGAGGAAGAGAGCAGCTTGGGACGCCTTCAAGAACGTCGAAGAAATAGCTAAGAGGACGAAGAACCTCCAGCTCCGGGCACATCTCTTTGATTCCACTGTTCTTCCTGCATTAACATATGCCTCAGAGACCTGGGCCCTATGCAAACAAGATGAGAACGCTATTCAGGTCTCCCAAAGAAGAATAGAAAGAGCTATGCTTGGAATATCACATTTCACTCAAATGAGAGAAAGAATCCGGAGTTCTGACATCCGTCGATGATCATGAATCAGGGACGCTGTCTCGTTTGCCAAGGTGTCAAAAATCAGATGGGCTGGTCACGTAATGAGATTTAAAGATGACCGCTGGACTAGACTGACTGGATTCCATGGGATGTCAAAAGACCGCGTGGCCGCCCACCTACCAGATGGTCAGACTTCTTCATCAAGATCATGAACGATCGGTTTGAGGCTCTTCATGTTCCCAGAGTGAACAGATGCCACTGGGCTACACTAGCACGCGACAGGGACAAATGGAGACGTTACTGGCACCTGCTCGAGCAAATCGACACCTAATGGGAAGTTAAGTGATTAAGTGATTAGGGAGATAGTGCCTCATAGAAGCTGTTTGGGAGAGTTCCTGTTTTTTCAATTTCCTGGAAAAGCTTGAGGAGAACAGGCAAAAGGTCTTTAAATGTTTGGGAGAATTCGCTAGTGAATCCGTCTGAGCCTGGGCTTTTGTTTCTGGGAAGACTTTTGATTACCGCTTAGATTTCCTTGATATGAATGGGTCTATTCAGGTATCCGGTGTCTTCCTAGTTCTATCTTGGGAGATTATAGAAATCCAGAAATTTATCCATTTCTTCTAGGTTCTCTTGTTTCGTGGCATACAGACTTTCAAAGTAGTATATGATGATCTTTTGAATTTCATTGGTTTCTGTTGTGATGTCCCGTTTTTCATTTCAGATTTAGTTTATTAGGGTTCTCTGTCTCTTTTTGAGTCTTGTTAGTGGTTTTATCAATCTTACATAATTTCTCAAAGAACCAGCTCTTGGTTTTATTGACTTACCTTTTAGATTTTTTTTTTTTTTTTGGTTTCCATGTCATTAATTTCTGCTCTAAGTTTTATTATTTCTTTCCTTCGGCCAATTTTGGGTTTCTTTTGTTTATCTTTTTCTAAGATCTCAAGCTATGTGCTTAGGTTATCTATGTAGGCCCTTTCTTCTTTCCTTAGGAATGCTTGCTATGCTATAAATTTTCCTCTTAGCGCGGCTTTAGCTGCGTCCCAAAGGTTCTGGTAGCTCGTGTCTTCATTCTCATTTGTTTCCAGGTAACTTTTTATTTCATCTTTGACTTCCTTCCTGACCCACTCATTGTTCAACATTGAGTTGCTTAATTTCCAGGTGTTTGATTTGTTTCTCAATGTCTTTGTGTGATCTGCTTCTATCTTGCATCATGGTCTAAAAAGATTGTTGATACTACTACTATCTTCCTGATTCTATCGAAGTTATGTTTTGTGGCCTAGCACATGATCTATTTTGAAAAGTGTTCCGTCCACACTGGAGAAGAACGTGTATTCTTTCTTTTGGGGGTGTAAAGTCCTGTATAGGTCTATTAGCCCTCTCTCTTCTATTTTTTCCTTCAAAGCCAATGTTTCCTTGTTTTGTTCTTGTTGATATATCCAGAGGTGATAAGGCGATGTTGAAGTCTCCAACTAATATTGTGTTGCTAGCAATGTCCTCCTTAAAATCTGTTAGCAGCTGTTTTAAGTATTTAGCTGGTCCCTCATTAGGAGCATATACATTTAAGAGTGTGATTTCTTCCTGTTGTACATATCCCTTGATAAACAGAAAATGGTGTTCACTGCCCCTTCTAACCTTTTTCAAACTGAAATTTATGTTGTTGGATACTAATATGGCCACCCCAGCTTTTTTGAGGGAGCTGTTTGCAGAATTGTTTACCATCCTTTAACTCTGAATCTATGTTTGCTCTGATTGTTCAGATGAGTTTCTTGTAGACAGCATAATGTTCATTTCAGTTTCTGGATCCATTTTGCCACTCTGTCTCTTAATTGGTGCATTTACACCATTGAAATTGAGAGAGATTATTGTCATGGGGTTTTGTGACATCTTTCTGTGGGGGTTGGTTGTGTTTATAATTGTTTTCATTCTTATCTTACAGGATCCCCTTTAATCCTTCTTTTAGGAATCACTCCTGACAGTGCTTGAGAAAACAATTGGGGTGCTGGGGATAGAACTCAGGACAACTGAGTACAACGCAAACATCTTACCTGCTGCACTATCTCTCCATTCCCCACCATATTAATTTTTGATACCACTAAAATACTGAAATTAAAACCCAATAACAGTCCACTGAGCTAGCTCTCCTGCCAGCAGATTGGCTTTTTTTTTTTTAAATTTAATCACCATGAGATACAGAGTTACAAGACTGTTCATGATTGGGTTCAGTCACAGGATATTCCAACACCCATTTCTTCACCAGTGTATTTTGCCCACCGCCCATGTCCCCAATTTCCCTCTTGACACTCCCTTGCCCCCTCTGCCTGCTTCTAGAGCAGGCATTCTTCTCTCTCACTCTCTCTTTCCTTCTGGGCATATGGTTTGCAATATTACTAAAAGGTTAACTAGATATTAAAAAAAAACACAACACAACCATATAAGTTATTCACAAACTTTCCCCCTTCTGGAGTATCTTTTCAGTGTCTGAAGACTTATTTAAATGACCTGGTTTCAGACTTATTTCTCCTCCAATTTGTAGGGAAACCCAACAGCAGATGCTGTATGAAGAGGGGATCAGCAACTATTCACTCGCACATGTCCCAGGTCGGCGACTTTTTTGTGCACTCTACTAAACGGCTAGCTGAATTTTATTCTAAAGGGAAAAAATTTACCTTAACTTCTGGAGTTCCTTCTGTGCATGCTCAATCATATGAACTAGATTTCTACGAAAGAAAATAGAAAACACTCAAATGTAATAGAACTGAAAGCAAGTATTTAATTAATATAAGTATTTCTGCAAATATCAAGCTCTCTGTAAAACATCCCATGAGACTATAAATATTTAGTAAATTTAATTACTAATTCTGTGAGGTAGATGTGATTATTAACAGTCCACAGACAAGGAAGCTAATTCTGGAAAGATTAACTTGGTCAAAGTGATGCAGGTGTTACAGCTACATTCTACTTTTTCACATCTTTTAAACTGTTGAAGACCAAGTACTTTACTGATACTTTCTTAAATGATTACTGCCTCTTTTCTTAGAGAAGCTGAAAAATATCTAATAAAAGCATACTCATGCTAATACTTTAACTCAAAGGTAGAGCACTTCCCTTGTACGTGCGAGACCCTGAGTCCAATCCCCAGGACTGCCAACATAAAACCGTCTAGAAAACAGCTTAATTGAGAACTCATTCACATACCACATCAATTTCGAGTTGAAACTAGCTCACACTAGTGATGTGGCTCAACATCAACTACAGTGCTGGCACCAGTGGCCCTACTATGTTTTAACTTGAGATCCAATATTGTTTCCTGGTTTTTCTGTAAGTTACATTTCTTGCTGCTCATCTGAGTTACTCATCTCTACTACAGTTTTCCTTTAGTTGTAATTCTCTAAAGACCCAGTCTTCTAACAGTTGTAGCTCTCCAAACGTTCCAGCCCCATGTGAGGACAATCAAGTTTAGTAATGGATCAATGACCTCTGGCTAACAGGGGGTGCCCTGTATGATCTCTTGCTAAAAGCTTCTCCTGCCTGCCTGTCTTCTTAGGCATGTGGTTCTCTGAATTTCTCAAAATGTTTCTTTTTTCCTGGGCCACACCTAGTGATGCTAAGGGATGACTTCTGGCTCTGGGCCCAGGAATCATTCCTGGCAGTGCTTGGGATGTGGGATGCTGGGGACCAAATCCAGAATAGATGTGTGCAAGGCAAGCAGTTGTGCATCATCATTCCAGCCCCTTAGAATGTACTTTTAGTGACGTGGGTTCCAGTCTCAGACGTTCCCCAGTAATCCTGACATGAGTTCCATGAAATGACAAGGGGCTAAGCCATGCGTATTACAGTCAGGCCAGATCTTGAGGATTTCCTTACAGCACAGAATTCTCTTTTTTGGGGACCATACCCGGTAGTACTCAGTGGTTATCTCTGTCTCCAAGTTCAGAGATCAGTAGTGGCAGGCTCGGGGGACCATAAAGAGTATTGGAGATTGAACCTTGGTCAGCCATGTGCAAAGCAAGCTCTCTACACACTGTACTGTTGCTCCAGCCCCTAGAATTCTCTCCTTTTAAATGATATACTACCCCATCTGCCCCCAGCAGTCCTGCACCAAGACAACTTAGATGGAAGCTTTCTGCCTAGATACTGGATGTCCTCACATAGCATCCACTGGGCTTAGAAAAGACAGAATATACGCAGGGGAATGTCCAGACACACAGAGTAAAGTGACTGAACGGCAGACAGGTGCTGTGCATAGTCATTAGTACAATTACCCAGGTTTGCCAGAGGTCTGGTTTGGCTTGAGTTAAATTTCCAACTGAGGTATAGCCTTCTTCCTTGACTATCGAAGAATATGGGTGTGGATGAGAGAGACTTCAGTGGTAGAGCTGTTGCTGTGTCTTATAAAGCCCAGGTTGATGCGCCACTGAAAAACTAACAATCTGTCTGACATTTTTTTAAGTTGGCTGGAAAAAAATTCCCCAGTTGGAGAGAAACTTAAAGTTGGCAATGTGGACTTAAATATTATACTTGCATCCATTTCTTCACCTTCCGTTCTCAATTCCTGCAATGTTTTCACTTTCTGAACATCCAAATCTTACCTTTCTTTAGTTACCTTTTCTCTTTCTTTCTAATGGGGTCCCAGGGATCTATCCTACGGCCTACCTATACAAAGCATATGTCTACCACTGAGCTGCATCTCTTACACCATGATGCCGGCCTCAATGCTGTGCCAGGACCAAACCTGGGATGGGTCTCTTACATGCCAGGTGTCCACTTAGCTCACTGAGCTATCTTTCTGGCCCAAGGAGAAGAGTTTTTTTTTCCTACTTTGTGAAAAGACTTTTGTTCTTTGGGCTGCTTAGAGAAGCAATTGGGTACCAAGTGGACCTGGGGAACAATCTCTCATGCAGAACGTGTGAACTAGACCTTGGAGACATCTCCCTGGCCCAAAAGACATTTTTGACTTGTCTCTTAAATTCCTATGTTACCCAGCCTCCATCTTCCCTTTATGGTCCATGTGAAAAATTCACGAAAGAAACTGAATTGTTATGAAGTTTCCAAGCTCTTAATTTTGTCATTAGATCCTCAGGAGGCAACAATTGTAAAAGGTAATTCTAAAACTTAGAGAAATGTTATTTTTCATTTTTTGGTTTGGCATTACTGTTTCAGGACACATATGCTAAAATGTTTTTGGCATAGTAATGAGGCCCTCCCATAAAATGTTACAAATAGGGAAGTAGAATCGTAAATAATAAAAACTAAAGAAGAGTGAGTAGTTTTTCTTTGCACATAGCTGGCCCGGGTTCGATCCCTAGCACAGAATATGGTCTCTTGAGCCCCACCAGCAGTGATTCCAGAATGCAGAGTCAGGAGTGTGTCCTAAGCACTGCTTTGTGTGGCCCAAAACCCAAACAAAAAATTATCAGTTAAGGATTTAAGATTACATGTACATCTGTACATAATTCCCTCAGGAGAAATGGCACAGTATTTGCTAATTCAGTCAATAATCAAAATCCACGTTTACAGAACATAAACAGCAGCTAAGAGATTCAACTGTCAAAGTAGTCCCCTGAGTAGTCTGCCCAAGGACTGGTACAGCAGATCTCAGGACTCTTGCAGAGGATTATATAGCAAGTGTGGAAGTTTGATTTGGTTTCCTTATACTGCAGAACTCTGAGGTGGCTCTCATGGCCTTTCCTATGTTGTAGGACATGATTGCAAGTGAAATGTCAGCTATACTAATTTTTTTTTTATCAAACTTCCCCTACTCAAGCTCCCACATTAAAAAACAAAAAAAGTCCAGGGGGTAGGGTGCTGCCAACAGGTCAACTTGTACCTCCGGGGCGAGTGCATCAGCAGCCTCATGATGCTTTCAGGCTTCCTGAGGCCCCAAAATTGCCACTGTGCCTTTGGCCAGACCCCAACAACTTGGGGCCCAGCTTACCAAGAAAATAAACGGCCAAAAGTTAAGTATGTGGGAGCCTCACCCACAAACCACCTCTGGCTCAACTATACAAGTTCATTTATTGGCCTTATCTCAGAGACCTATACATGAAAGAGATCAAAAGCCATCCTGAATCTCGGACCTGTGCATGGCTGAATAGACCAGGGTAAATCAGAGGGGGGCAGGTTGGCCTGTGTCTGCCCACGTAGAGTCCCCAGCAGCCGCTTGCTTATGTAATCCAAAATCACCGCCAAACCTCCGGCCTGACTCCACCTTCTCAGGATGGACCCCACCAAGATATAATCTGCTGAAAATTTGGGTATGACGGTTTTGTGACTGAAATCTTCAGGCTTTCATGGAGTTGGGGTGGACGACTTCCCTCCCACTTCCCAATATACACTGAAGTACTGGCAGTCACCCCCAAAAACCAACTTCAGCACCACCCTGTCAACTCTTATTATTGGCCTTGCTTCAGAAACCCATAAATAAATCTTGAAAGAGATCAAAAGCCAGAGACACAGTAGCAAGTCCAGGAAGAAACCACAGAACTGGAGATCTCTGCGGGCCCCATACTGAGCCAACTTCACTGAAACACCCCAGATGGAACAGGTGCAGTCTCCCCGCCTACTCCAGATGGAATCCTGGTGACGAAGAGCTTCCACAAGCAAGGCCCAGGTATGCAGGTTCCAGGACTAAATTTCCAGGCCGCATGGCGGCAGAGGTGCCAGGCTATCCCTCCCTGGCTCCCCGCCCACTCATTGGCCTGGCTGTCACACCCAGGCCTGCCTCCAGACGCCATGTTAGTGCACCAACAGCCCTGGTTGAGAGACAAGCCAATTGAATCCCAAACTGGATTAGTGCTCTACAGGAACATCTCTGGAGCCCAACCATTTGCAATCTAGGATTCCAGAAGTGTGCGGCTGCAGCACACAAGTTATTCAGGATGAGCAATGGACAATAAATGATCTAGCATCTGCCCGACAGGCAGGCTTGAACGGTGGTGGGAAAATTCGAGCAAAACAGAATGCCCCAAATTAGAGAATACTGGGGCAATTGTCTGCCATGGAGGCACGGTGAGGACTGGAATGGAACAGGGGAGATATACTGGGGACACTGGTGGTGTTAAGTGTGCACTGGTGAAAGGATGGGTGTTTGATCATTGTACAGGTGAATCTCAAACATGAAAACTTTGTAACTGTACCTCATGGAGATTCAATAAAAAAAAAAGTAATGTGGAGTTCATGTCCAATTCATGGCTGAATAAACAGCAGTACTCCTACATGAAAAAAAAAAAAGTCCGTCAAAGCTCTGGGTAGCGGATTTTACAAAAGCTTCTTACTCATTATATACTTTCCAGGCATTACATCCATGCTGTGACATCAGTTCCAGATTCTCAATTCGAACTGCCTGGTGTTCTAATTGGGCCATAGAATTGTTTACACATTCTTGCCATGCAGTAATGTCATTTTTCTGTCCTGAGGAAGGGGCTGGAAGTTCGTATCTGAAAGGAAACAACAATAAAATAAAACCACACACTTCCCTCCAAATAATTTCCCCTCCAGAATGTCCCAGCGCACAGCGGGCCTACAGACACTGTAAAACATACTAAAGAAACAAAGTCTTTGCAAATAAAACTGATACACAATAAAGGTAAAGGTAAAGGCCCTCCCGTTGTTCGTCGATTTGCTCGAGCGGGCCCAGTAACGTCTCCATTGGAGACTTTTCTTGTTACTGTGTTTGGCATATCGAATACTTCACGGGGAGCTTGCCAGGCTCTGCCGTGCGGGCTAGATACTCTCGGTAGCTTGCCGGGCTCTCCAAGAGGGGCGGAGGAATCGAACTCGGGTAGGATATGTTGGCTGCGTGCAAGGCAAACACCCTACCGCTGTGCTATCGCTCCAGCCCAAAGAGTCAGCAGTCCAACCGAGCCAGCCAGGACATACACAATGAAAACAACCAAATTATTTATAAATAAGATTAAGCACAACAGTATTTACAATTAAAAAATTGCGATCGTACCTTCACAAAATTTTTTTTTGGGGGGGGTTTGGGCTATATCTGGCCGTGCTCAGAGCTTACTCTTAATGGCACACTGGGACCTGATGTGGTGCTGGGGCTCAAACTGGGATTGGTCATGTGCACGACAAGGATCTTACCCGCTGAACTCTCTCTCCACCCCCCTATAAATTTTTTTTTAATTACTAAATGTTACTGAAAAATAGAACAGCAAGATGTTTGGGGTCCTGGGATGTGGCTCAGCTTTTGCATGTGCCTCAAATTTATATGTAGCCCTGGGCTTGAACTCAGTTCCACATATAGAAAAATCCCATCAAGATGTTTATGAAATATTAAGGGGGAAGTACAGTAAATAAACACTGATCTCTATCGTAAACTACATCTCATCCATCTACTTACCACATACCTACACTGAGGAAAAAGGAAAGAAAATAATTTAAATTGTTTATTCTCAACACACTTAACTCTCTAATATGGCCAGTAGAGTTAGAAAATATGTCTTCATAAAATCTCAGTATCATTACTGATGACTTGTTGAAAAGTAAAGCTTTGTTTTTGGACCACACCTCACAGGTGTCCTTGGCTACTCCCTGGGGGTGAGGAACCACATGGTGCCCAGGAGAGATCCTGGAAAAGGAACATGAATAGCAAACCACTTACCCACTCCCCTGTACTTTTAAGTCTCTCTGTCCTCAATTTCCCTTTTCCTATATATTAAATATTTTAAAGTATTCAATATTGGGGCCTGGAGCAATAGTAGGTAGGGCACTTGCTTTTAACATAGCTGGTCTGGGTTCAATCCCAGCACTACATATGGTTCACCCTGTCTCACCAGGAGTGATTCCTGAGCACACTACATATGGTTCCCTCCACAAAAATAAAACAAAAACACCCAAATTAAAAGTACTGAATATTCAGTAATTTTCTTACCCTTGGTCCTTAATTTCCATTTTAATATTCTTACTAAATGGGGCTGGAGAGATAGTATAGCACGTACTATCTCTAGCCTTGAACACAGGGAACCCAGTCCGATCGTTGCCACCACATATGGTCCCCTGAGCCCACCAGGAGTACGAAGACAAGGGTAGCCCTGAGCACAGCCAGATGTGGCCTAAAAATCCAAAGGGGAAAGACACTCTACTTCCTATGAAAAACTAAGAGGACTGCAACCAGGACTAAGATAAACTGGGGAGAGATAGCACAGGTCGGCAGGGTATTTGCCTTGCACATGGCCAATCTGGGTTTGATCTTCAGCACACTAAATAGTCCCCTGAACCCCACAAAGAGTGATCCCTGAGCACACATCCAGGAATAAGCCCTGAGCACCACTAGGTGTGGCCCCCAAACAAAAAATTATAAACTGGGCCAGAGAGATAGCATAAGGGCTGGAGAACAAGCTCTGCATGTGGGAACTCTAGGTTAAATCCAACACTCATGGTCAATGAGTGAAACTGGATATGGGCCAAAAAACAAAAAATAAAAACAGCTTTACATGTAGTAATTTGCACATTTTACATACCATCCAGTTAAGAATGATTTTCTACATTCAGTACACAAATACAGCTGATCAAGAATTTCACAAAACAATACTGATCTTTTATATATGCATTACATTTTAGTATTTTCTATCTTGTTTCTTTAAAAAAGTGTATTGCTGGTGGCGCAGAGATGGCAGACGGGGAAGGTGCCTTGCCTTGTATGCAGATGATAGTAAGTCGATTCCTGGCACTGCAGGACACCCTGAGCACAAAGCCAGGAGTAAGCTTTGGCACTGCAAATGTGGCCCCAAAACAAAGGGCTAGAGTGTGTGCAGGGGCCACAGATCTGTTCTCTGGCACTGAACATGCCATATAGAGCACCACTAGTATGACCCAAAGCATTTCCATACTATATTGTCATCACAATGAAGATTGGATTATTAAGAAAACCTTTACAGGGGCGGGAGGTATAGTATAATGGTAGGGTGTTTGCATTGCACATGGTTGACCATGGTTCAACCCCGAGCATACCATATGGTCCCCTGAACACTGCCAAGAATTAAGTTGTGAGTGCCAAGCCATAAATGACTCCTAAGCACTGTCAACTGTGGCTCAAAAACAAAACCAAACTCTTTAAAGCAGAATTTCCCCCTTCTTATACCTGCAAACTAGCACCAGTGTTGCATAGCAGTCCACAGGTCAGCAATTATAACCCAAGTGGCAGACCAGGTTGAAACCTTCCTACACCCGTGGACCCATGGTTGAAAACTGTCTGATTTCGAGGAGAAGCACCTGAAAATGAGGGCTTTGAATACTTTAAAGTTGCCCTGCTTTCATCACTCCAGCAAGACAGGAAATGGAGTATGGGAAGAAATGCTATCTGTCCCACTGACTCAACTCCCTCTTTAGAGTATACAGATGGCTGTCTCGAGATGCCCAAGAATGATGCAGTTCTCTCTTAAACAATTCTGATCTGAGATTATGTAGTGTTTCTCCTATTCCATAGTTAATAGAAAGCAGAAAGAAACCTACACTGTTAAGTAAACCAAATATCCTTTTCAGATAAAGTAGCAAAGGTTAATCTCTCACTTGCCATTTTCCGAGTAAGAATGAAGTCTGTAGTAAAGGGCAAGGACAGGGAGAGCAGACGCTGGTGTTCCTCTATGTAGGTACTCTCTTATCAATGCTTCCAATCTAAGAGTGATGCCAGATCATTTATAAGTAACAACATAGTTTCAGTTTAAGTATGTGAACAATGAGGAAAGAGATGTCTCAACAAGAACATTTCCTTGGGATTTTTAAAACATGGATTTCATTTCAAAGCATTAATCCCAATTGCTGCAGAAATTTAAAAGCCAACGTGACTTGAGCCCAGCTGAACCAAAAGTAGGACTTACCGTTTCATACTGAGTAATTCAATTGGTTGTCGGGCAGCCAATCTTTCAAATTCATTTCTCATTATGTCAGTCTGATGTACAAAGAGGAAAAAATTACTTCCAAAATCTTATCAACAAGTCATCAAATAGTGAATCTGAGTTTATATTGTACATTTTCCATTATACAGGATCATTTCTTCCCCCCACCCCAAGTCTTCTCTGGGTTAAATGCTTTCCAGGATCTGCAAACCCGCCCCCTGCCCCCCCCCCCACACTCTTCATACTAAAAGGGGCTTTGAGAGTAGGGCTGGAGATAGTACATCAGGGCAGAGCAACTGCTTTTTATGCAGCTGACTGGAAGCACCTTAGAGGGTCCCCCAAGCACTGCCAGGAGTAAGCCCTGAGCACCACCAGGTGTGTCCCCCACTCCCACCCCCCACAAATCAAAATAAGTAAAAGTGACTGTGGGGCTGGCAAGATGGCTCAATAAAGCACACTGTACTGTACGCAATAAGTCTGGGTTCTAGCCTACTACTGCATGGCCCCCTGTACCTCTGGAGTGGTTCAAATAGAGGGCTTAGATTCCTGCGAGCCCCAAAATAAAAATAAACGAAATAAAAATTAAAAGGATTACAGAGAAAACAATATTGGATCAGACTTCAGTAATCTCTAATAGCTCAACAACATTTTTTCCAACAAACTTAAAAAAAAAAGTAAATACTGGGTCAGGGGCTGGAGCCATAGTATAGTGGGTAGGGCTTTCCTTGCACACAGCCAACCTGGGTTTGATCTCTGCCATCCCACATAGTCCTGAGCACTGCCAAGAGTGATTCCTGAGCACAGAACCAGAATAACTCCTATGCACTGCCAGCTGTGGAACCATAACTAAGCCAAATCCAAGCAAAAAATCTGGATCAATTTTCAATCTCAGCAGTATATTATTGGAGCCCTTAAAACCATTTGGAGCTTTAGCCACAAGCTTATCTTTCTTTCCCTATTCCCAGTGAGTATTCATTACCATAGAGCTGTCTCAGGCTTTTCTTACATTCAATTGATAAACACAGATTACCTGCTACAGTCAAACCACATTGTAAACACACACACACACCCTCTGCTTAGTTTTTCCTGAACAATCATTCTAAATTTGGTTAAAATATTTATGCTTTTGGGTCACACCCAGCAATGCTCTGGGATTACTCCTGGATCTGTGCTCAGAAATCTCCTGGTGAGCTCCAAGGACCATATGAGGTGGCAGGGATCGAACCAAGGCTGACCGCATGCAAGGCAAGTGCCCGACCCACTATAGTATTGCTCTGGGTTCTGGTTAGAATATTTGAAAGTTTGTGGCTAAATGCATTTATTTGAAACTTTCAGAAATTAACAAATGAAGCATTCCTAACTTACTTTCTACCATGTTAACATCAATACTTGGGCAGTAGAAGAAAAAGAGCATTTCATAGGAAAATGCCTCCGATGAAAATGTTTCAGGTTGGTAATGTGCATGCCTCACACTGGTTCTTGCGCGATAACCTTCCACTTGCCGGATTCGCCCCCGTGGCTCACCTTCGGTCACAAGCAACTTCGTGCTCATGGTGAACCCTCCACACCTGCTGCCGAGGCAGCTGGGCCAGGTGTCCGTCCCGCACATGCAGACACGCGTCTCAGCAGCGTTAAGTGGAGGACGCCCCCGGCCGTGCCCGCGTGAAGCAGATAAGCCACCAAGCTCAGACACCAGACCAGGCTCGCTCGGCTCGGAGGCAACTCAGAGCAGATCCCTCAGGAACCCACGAGAGAACGAAGCGTCCACTGGGACACCCGCACACCGTCGTGGGCCCTGAACCCCCCCCCTGCGGTCCCGAGTCAGAGCCCTGGAGGGGCCTCACCGGGTCCGGCCGAGCTGCCGCACGGCGGGAGGCCGCCTGCACCCCGACCGGGTCGACCCCGGCCCCCAGACAGCCCCCAGCCTCGCCGGGAGCGACCTGGGCGTCGCCGGGTGTGCCCCCAAAGCAAAATTAAAAACACCACCACCAACATAAAGAACCCAGACGAAGCCACCGCCACGGCAGCTCCTGTCAGGCGGCGGCAGCAGGCCGGGCGTCTCCGCTCACCTCGAAGGCCGAATAGTCGGGGGCGCTGAGGTAGCTCAGGTAGTTCTTGGTCGGCCGATAGCGGCGCGTCTCCTCCTCGACCAGGGCCGCAGCCTAGGACAAAAGAGGCCGGTCAGGGAACGCCGCTTCTGCGAACCCGGCCACGCAGATCCCCACCACTCACCGCTTCCCGAACGCCGGGCGCCTCATAGCCTTGGTCAAAGTACGGCAGCGCATCGACCACCACCTCCCCGGCCACCAGCCCGGTGCCCGCCATGCCGGAGTCGCACGACTATTCTGCGGCTGCGCGGCCCCGCCTACTCGACACCGGCGCACACCGATTAGGTCATGGCGGCGGGGCGGGGCGGAACGCATGCGCAGTGGCGACGTCTGAAGGCGTGCCCGTCCGGCACCTGGGTCGCCTGACCAGTTTGTGTTGTCGGAAGTGACGTCGATTCTTCGTTTCCTATAAGCTGCGGCAAATTTTCTACTTCCGGTCTGTGGGGCCTTTTTATTTGTTTCCCACCGGGCGCGACTTGGAGAGGAGCTGTGTCTGCTGCGTCCTTCCATGACTGGAGGTACCCTCTGAAGTCGCCCTGCCGCCTGCCTCCCGGTCCGGCAGCTCTACGGGCCTCTGCGGCTCTGGGCTATCAACCCCCAGCTGCGGGCTTGCTGGAAGCGCAGTATTATTTATTTTCCTACGACATTTAAAACTTCATTTTTATTGATTGATTTTAATTGAACCACAGTGAGACTTACAGTTACAAAATTGTTCATGGTTGGGGTTCAGTCATACAATGTTCCAACACCCGGTCACTTCACCAGTGTACATTTCCCACCCACAATGTCCCCAGTTAGAAGCGCAGTTTTATTAATTTTAAATCTTTTATTTAGGTTTTATTATTGAATCACTGAGATAGACACTTATAAAGCTGTTCATGATTAGGTTTCATATTGTTCCAACACTCATCCTTCCACCAGTGTACATTTCCCAGCACCTGTGTCTTGGATTTCACCCCATCACCCCCCCTTCCCCAGCACTTTTCCTCTCTGTCTCTGTCTCTCTCTTTTCTTTTTCTCCTTTTGCATACTGTGGTTTGCAGTACGGATCCTGAAATACTTCCCTTTACTTATTACTCTTCAACACTCAATTCTTGTCCAATGTTCTCATTTCCAGCTACTGTCATACTGGTTCCTTCTCTGTCTTACTTATGTTCTGCCCCCCCACCCCCCTTTGTGGTTTATTCCAACCATTGACCAGTCCTCCTCGGCCCTGTTTTTTATGGATATTCATCTGCTAATATATGTATATGTGTATGTATAAAATTGTTTTACATACCACAAGTGAATGAAGTCATTCTATATTTGTCCCTCTCTAATTTCAGTATGAAACTATCTACATCCATTTATAGGCAAATTTCATGACTTCATTTTTCCTAACAGCTTCCATTGTGTAGTTGTTCCTTTATCCAGTCTTCTGTTCTTAGGCACTCAGGTTTCTTCCAGATTCTAGCTGTTGTGGATAGTGCTGCAATGAACATAGGAGTGCAGATTGTGTTTCAGCTCTGTGTTTTTGGGTCCCAGGGTATATTCCCCAAAGTGGTATTGCTGGATCAAATGGGAGCTCAATTTCTTGTTTTTTGAGGAATGTCCATGTTGTTTACCAAAAGAGCTGGACTAGTAGGCCTTCCCACCAACAAAGAAGGAGAGCCCCTTTCCACATCCATGCCAGCATTGGTTGCTTTTATTCTTTTGGGTGTGAGATGATATCTCACCTGTTGTTTTGATTTACATCTCTGATTAGTGATGAAGAGCATCTTTTTCATGTGCCTTTTGGCCATTTGAATCTCTTCTTTGAGAAAATTTCTGTGCATTTCTTCTCCCCATTTTTTAAAAAAAATTTTTATTAATGAGACATCATGAGGTACAGTTGTAGACTTACAAATTTTTGTGCTTGGGTTTCAATTATACAATGATCAAATACGCATCCCTCCACCAGTGCCCATTTCCCACCACCATGGATCCCAGTATCCCTCCCACCCCCCATCTCCCCCATCCCACCCTGCCTCTGTGGCAGGGCATTCCCTTTTGTTCTCTCTCTCCTTTTGGGTGGTGTGGTTTGCAAGAGAGGCAATGGGTGACAATCATGTTTGGTCTACAGTCTACTTTCAGCATGCTTCTCTCATCCTGGGAAGATCCTCCCAACACCCTTTATTTGGTGTTCCCTTCTCTATCTGAGCTCCCTTTTCCCCTGTGGCTGGCCTCCAAGCCATGGAGTAAGATTCCTGGTACTAATCTCGGCCATTCTTGGGTGTTAGTCTCCTATTTTGTTACTTTATGTTCCCCAGATGAATGCAATCTTTCTATGTCTATCCCTTTCTTTCTGAGTCATTTCACTTAACATGATACTTTCCATGTAGTACCACTTGTATGTAAATTTCATGACTTCGTCTTTTCTAACAGCTACATAGTACTCCATTGTGTAGGATGTACCAAAGTTTCTTTAACCAGTCATCTGTTCTCGGGCACTCAGGTTTTTTCCAGATTTTGGCTATTGTAAAGAGTGCTGCAATGAACAAACAAGTGCAGATGTCTCTTCAACTATACTTTTTTGCCGCTCCGGGATATATTCCCAGGAGTGGTATTGCTGGGTCAAATGGGAGCTCAGTTTCTAATTTTTTGAGAATCGTCCATACTGTTTTCCAAAAGGGCTGAACCAGCCGGCATTCCCACCAGCAGTGAAGGAGGGTCCTTTTCTTGCCACATCCACGCCAGCACCAGTTGCTTTTGTTCTTGTGGATATGGGCCAGTCTCTGTGGTGTGAAATATCTCATTGTGGTTTTGATCTGCATCTCCCTGATGATTAATGATGTGGAGCATTTTCTCATGTGCCTTTTTGACATTCGGATTTCTTCTTTGTGAAAGTTTCTGTTTATTTTGTTGCCCCATTTTTTGATGGGGTTGGATGTTTTTTCTTGTGGAGTTCAACCAGTATATCATTGATATCAACCTCTTGTCGGATATGTATTCAGTGAATATCCTTTCCCATTCTGTAGACTGTCTTTGTATTTTGGTCACTGTTTCTTTTGAGATGCAGAAGCTTCTTAGTTTAAGATAGTCCCATTTGTCTATCTCTGTTTTCACTTGCTTGGCCAGCGGCGTGACATCTTTGAAGATACTATTAGCTTCAATGTCATGTCTTCTCCCCATTTTTTGATGGGGTTGGATTTTTTTTTCTCATAAAGTTCAACCAGTGCTTGTATAACTTTGGTATTAACCCCTTACCAGAACGGTTTTGGTTATTCACCTTTCCCATTCCAGAGGCTGTCTTTGTATCTTTGTCATTTTTGAGGTGCAGAAGCTTCTTAGTTTAATGTAGTCCCATCAATTTATCTTCATTTTCACTTGCTTGGTCAGTGGCATTTCATCTTTGAAGATACCTTTAGCTTCAATATCCTAGAAGGTTTTTCCTACATTTTCTTCCATGTACCTATGGATTCAAGTCTGATGTTGAGGTCTTCATTTTTTTTTAATTGAATCACCATGAGATACAGTTACAAGCTTTCATGTCTGAGTTTCAGTAATACAATGATCAAATACCCATCTCTCCACCAGAGCACATATCCCACCACCGATGTCCCCAGTCTCTCCCCCAAATCCCAACCCTCCTCATGCCTCTATAGCAGACAATTCCATCTCATACTCTCTCTCTCTCTACTTTTGGGCATTATGGTTTGAATACAGATACTAAGAGGATATCATGGGTCCTTTACTTGCAGCACACATCTTTCATCCCGAACGATCCCTCCAACCATCATTGACTTAGTGATGCCTTTTCTGTTCCAGTTGCCCTTTCCCCCAGCTCATGAGGCAGGCTTCCAACTATGGAGCAGTTTTTCTGCTCCTTGTGTCTAATATCTTAGGGTGTCGGTCAAGGTCTTTCATTTTGATCTGATATTTGTGCATGGCATTAGATTGAGATCTGAATTCATTTTTTTGCATGTAGCTATCCAGTTTTGCCAGAACCACTTGTTAAAAAAGGCTTTTCTTGCTCCACTTCATATTTCCTACTCCCTTATCAAAGAATAAATGATCACATATTTAAGGGTGTGTGTCAGGATATTCAACCCTATTCCCTTGGTCTTCAGGTCTGTTTTTATTCCAATATCATGATGTTTTAATTACTACTGGGAAGTGCAATTTTAGACCCTATGCCTGTCTCTGGGTGAAACTGCAGTGCTCTGATTTGCGGAACAAAAGCACCCCAAGCTCTGCTCCTGTTGAGATAATAAACTGTCTCCCAACCCTGATCTACAAAACAGTCCTTTGGCCATTAGTTGGGTCACTGATTTGAAAGCTTCTGGTGAAGAGGAGGCCTCGCACAACTGCTCTCCAGGCTCTCACCTCCCTTCGACTTGGAAACACCAGGAGAGGGCTTCAGCCCAAGCCAGTGGTTTTGGTTTCTAAACTTGATCAGATGAAGATCCCTTAATCTCTTAGGTGATAATCTTTCCTTCTTAGTTGAGATTTTATTTATTTATTTATTTGATTTTTGGGTCACACCTGGCAATGCTGGGGGGGTTACTCCTGGCTCTGCACTAAGGAATTACTCCTGGCGGTGCTCAGGGAACTAAATGGGATGCTGGGAATCGAGCCTGGGTTGGCCGCGTGCAAGGCAAACGCCCTACTCGCCCTATCACTCCAACCCCATGAGGTTTATTTCTAATTCACCCAAAGATACACAACAGTTTTAAAATCTTTATTCATGAAAAGATCTGTAAACATTTTATACAAGTCTTGAGCAATTCTTTTACAAACGTGTTTAAAACTCATAATACTGTACAAAAACAAAACCAACCAAAAAAGAAAGCAGCTTCAGATCAGGGGGATCAATTTTCCCCCATTGGCCCCGCCCCCTAAAGCAAAGGTCTTCTCGATGTGGTATTTCCAGGATTCCTCCACAGGAACCCCTCCACCCAGACCACAAAGCCTACACATATTTAACTCTCGCTAACTGTTACCTCTGGATTGGAGTGTCAGAAGAGAAGAAACCATGGGTGAGGGGGCTGGGGGGCCTGTCCTGCAAGAGCCCTGCTGTGGTAAGCTGCTTAACAAACACTTCTAAAAGACAAAGACTCAATCCTCTTTCCTGGCCTGCATCCCGTGTTGACAGGAAAGGTACAGCTCTCTTTGGCATTTCTGGTTTTGCGGCCACACCTAGCGATAGTGATGTCCAGGGGAACTCCTGGTAGTGCTCGGGGGATCGAACCCTGGTCGGCCGCGCACAAGGCAAACTGCCCTACTCACTGTACTATTGCCCTGGACCCAGCTCTTTGGTTTTAAATGCCGTCTGCTGCCGCTCTATACACATGACCCTGAATGGGTTGTAATGACAGAACTACAAGTCAATAAATTGTATCCTAGTAACAACATAAGGTTTTGTTGAGTTTGAATTTTTTTATGCCAGTTAAAACCATCTAGGAGTGGGGGTGGCTTGAAGAAAACAAACTGACATTTGCTACAACATTTATCAGTGAAAATTGCACTTTCCCCAACAGTCTTTGCAATTACTATCACTAATTTAGGCATTAGGGATCCGGGTGATTAACTGATACAGGCCTGGGAAATATGCATATTCTGAGTCTCAATTTAATCAGAGCAGATACCCAGCAGTTCCAGGAAGGAGCCCTGGTACTCACTGTTTAAAGTTTAATGCTCAGAGCTGATAGGTGGCTCTGGCGCATTTCAGCTTAAAAGAAAACGTACAGGAGCCAGAGCCATATAGAGCAGATGGAAGCTTATTTGCACTCAACTGACCCAATCCTGGTATCCCACATGGTTTCCTGAGACCCATAGGGTATGATTCCTGAGCTCCATTGTCTGAAGCAAGCCCTCAGCACATGCTGTGCCCCCCTCAAAAAAAAAAAAAACCTTATTCCGTAGCTGTAACCTCACAGCTCAAATTCCATCTGCAGGACTAACCACTTTTATTTGTTGATAAAATAGTGCTAGCTTCAGCTTTGGCTCTGTTGGATAACTTAGTGTGATTATTAACCCTCCTTGAATTTTAGTTTCTTCTTTACTAAAATGGAGATGTAAGTATCTCCTATGGTGCATGTGTGAGGTCCTGGGTTCAATTCCCAGTACCGTATGATCCCCCAGGAGTGACCCCTGAGCATTGCAGGGTCACTCCCCTTCCAAAAAAAAGTGCGAATGACATAAGATGATAGGTATTAACAGTGCAGGGTACGTGGTGGGGACACACACACACACACACACGCGCGCGCGCGCGCGCGCGCACACACACACACACACACACACAGAGTTCTCATTTCCCTGAAGGACATTTTCCAGTTAATTCCACAAAGGTTTACATGGAAACATCAAGGACGAGCTATCCAGTGGCACGTAACATGGAGGAGGACTGCAAGATGTCTTTTATGAGATATTCAGTTAACAGTATTCCCATATAAGGGAGATTCCCAAAAACACATTGGAAGAGCATATTCCTTAGCTCCAATAGCCCTTCTTTTATCTTTTGGGTTTTTTCAGGGGGGCCACACCCAGCGGTGCTCAGTGCTCACTCCTGGCGGTGCTCAGGGGACTACATGGGATATTGAGGGTCGAGCCCAGGTCAACATGTGCAAGGCAAACACCCTGACCATTGTACTAGGACTCCAGCTCCAGCCCACATGTTTAAAGCTGCCATGGTATTTCAGTGATGACAAGTAACGTGTATGTGGTTCTCCACTTCTACCTTCCTAGTACCTAATTCGCCGTGTTCATGTTACAGCTATTTCTTAAAATGCAACATCATCTTTCTCTTGTAAAAGACAAGTGCCCTCACTGACTAAACACAAAACACAAAGATCCAGTGCAGGAATCAAATGGAAAATGTTACCAGAGAAAACCTGGAGAGATAACGAAGAGACAAAGAATCTGCTGACACCTGTGAGGCCAAAACTTGCTTTCTGGCACCATCCCACAGATGCCAAATACAATCCTGATGCCTCTAGCACTCAGAACCCCATTCTCTGCAACATGGTGTGTGGATCCCCGGCAACCTATATCTAAGTGTGTGTGACCCCTGATGATCTACAAAACAAAATGTGAGCACGACTAAGTGTGCAGCCCCCATGAGAACTGCAGCCAAAATGTGCTGAGTGCTGCTGCTAAGAGAGGATTAGCCTCAGGAGCCTGTGACTCAGCACTCAGCCACATGTGCACAACCCCTGGCTGTCACAGCCAAACAAGAGTGGGGAAAGAATGAGACGCCTAGGAGAGAAAATTTGTTCCAGACCATTCCCAGCAGCTGCCCAGGGATGACTTCCGGGAGAACTTGGTCCACTCTGTGATCAGTTCAACTCCAGGATTTTGTATAGCACTTGGGGGATATTCTTACTCTCCCGAAAGACTTTTTTTGGCACTTTGTGTTTTAGGATGGACACAGTAAATTGGAGCATTCATTTCTTCTGCAGAAATTTCATTTTACTTCCTAAAGGGAAAAACAGCAGAGGGAAGTCTCATTAGTTAATTTTTATTTCTTGTACATGATCCAAGGCAAGGGATCAACAACTGAGCCATTCTGAACAGCCAAGCTCCCACCTTACACCATCAGTTCAGTGTTTGACCACCACCCACCCTCCCAAGCCAACTACCTAATTGAAGAGGAAGAAGAGAACCCAGACATCATCTAACCCACTGGTTTTTCAACCCTGACTGAAGATTTCTTGGTGTCTAGTGGTGGTGATGGTGGCAGGGCTTGGGAGGGGTGCCACAGATTTAATTTTTTTTTATCTCCCCAGAGATGACAATACCATCAGAAATGAGAATCATGGATCTAACATAACCCTATGATATAAAAGACTAAATGACATGATGAGTGTAACAATGCAGGGTACTTGGTGGGATACACACACACACACACACACACACACACACACACACACACACAAACACACACACATGTAGTTCTCATGTCTCTAAAAGGACATTTTAAGTCCAAAGCACAATTTGTCCAAGATCTCCCTGTTAGTGGAGTACAGGAAATAAGTTCAATTAGGGGCATATATTTCAAAGACGTAAATAAATACAGAGAATGAGGTTCTTTATTGTTTTGGGCTTTACACACTGTTCTCTATATCATTTTGGATTTTTAAAAAGTTAATTACAAGTGAAAAATCATAAACAACCACATTTTCTTTTGAAGTGTGAAGTCAGGGGCTTGTCCAACATACTATTTTGCCTCATATGCCCTCTAAGTTGTTTTTTTTTTTAATTGAGGGAGGTGCACCATTCCTGGAGGTACTGTGATACCAGGATGATGCATGGAGTGTATGGAGCAAGCTCCTATTCCAACTCCCTAATCCAAAAATCCCCCAATTTAACATATTGTCCTCAGATAGAGGACATATCAGATATTAAAACTGAACATAATAGATGCAACACTTGATCTTTGCCAAAAAGCAGAGAAGTAACAAGGGTTTTTTTTTGTTTTTTTTGTTTTTTTTTGCAGGGAGGTCAGGCATTAAACCCAGGTTAATCATGTACAAAGCAAAAGCCCTACACACTGTACTATCATTTTGGCCCCTATGCTGGGAGTGTTTTGGTCAGGCAGATAGTTCTAAGAGCTGGAGTGATGCACAGGTTTGAGTCCTAGCATCGTTTAGAGTGACTTGTGAGTATTAATCTGGGAGCATCCTGTGAGCACCACTGGGTATAGCTCCCCAGTGAAAAGGAGTTACCTTTCCCTGAGAGACTGCCAACAGAACAGTGGACTGAGGTGGCAAAGGAGGAGGAGAGAAAACTTAGGACAGTGATGGAGGGTGATTGACACTCTGGTGAGATAAAACAGCATTGAAACAAAACAATAGTATGGACAATACAGTGAACCGCATTACCTCAACAAAAATAACCAGGGAGAAAATAACATGAGTTTTTAATCTAGAGTCCAGGAGCGATAGCACAGTGGATAGGACGTTTGCCTTCCACACGGCCAACCTGGCCAACCCGGCCGACCCACGTTCCGATTCCTCCACCCCTCTCGGAGAGCCCGGCAAGCTACCGAGAGTATCTCGCCTGTATGGCAAAGCCTGTCAAGCCACCTGTGATGTATTCGATATGCCAAACACAGTAACAAGTGTCACAATGGAGACGTTACTGGACCTGCTTGAGCAAATCAATGAACAATGGGAGACAGTTACAGTTACAGTTTACTTTCTGGGGGAAGTTCCACAGTTTCTATAAAATTATCAAAGGAATATAACTTAGAAAATACTATTAAACATTTATGCAGATGTTTATATCATCAGGGACCTTATTTGAAAATGACCCAGTGGCCCACTCTGTTTAGAGCCTGAATCTGAGAAAGACTTCCTTTTCTCTGAAACTCTATGGAATCAGGGCATGTTTTCTTTTTTCTTTTTTTCTTTTCTTTTTGTCTTAGGGCTCTAGCAGGACAAAACTTCCCTCCTAGCTTTGTGCTTAGTCATCACTCCTAGCAAGCTTGGAAAACCATATGGGATGCTGAGGATTGAACCTGGGTCAGCCATGTGCAAGGCAAATGCCCTATCTGATGTACTATTTCTCTAGCCCCACAGGACTATATTTTCTGATAAGTCTACTTGAGGTTATAATATTGATCTGATCGCAGTGCTTTTCAGCAACACTTATCTAAATAGGAAAAGAAAAAAGAGACATTAACTCACCAAGACTCCGCAAAATTCTATTTACCCCACTGGGCTCAGACTCAGGAATCGTTTCCAAATACTGGAGCGCCCGGACCTCAAACAAACCTATGGAGAAAGCTCATGTTGGTGAACTGTTTAACACTCAAGACTGAAAACCAAATGGAACTCTATGGCCTAGCAGAAGAAACTCAAGATAGGGGCTGGAGTGATAGCACAGGAGGTAGGGCACTTGCCTTGCATGTGGCTGATTGAAAATTGATCCCTGGCATCCCATATCATCCCCTAAGCACCACTATAAGTGATTCTTGAATGTAGAGCCAGGAGTTACCCCTAAGCATTGCTGGGTATGGCCCAAAACCAAAACGGAAAAAAAAAAAAAAGAAACTCAAGATAAAAGACACCCTACTGAGTGGGAGAAAATACTCACATACATTCACAAAGGACCAATATCTATTTACAAAGCACTAAAAAACCCCCACCAAATCAACAATAAAAAACTATACAAACCCCATTAAAAAAATGGTGAGAGGAGATACGTAGATATTTCCTCAAAGAAGACTTACAGGTGGTTAACAGGAGATGAAAAGTGCTTGGTATCACTGATTAGCAGAAACTACAAATCAAAATCAATATGCATCACCTCAGAACAGAGAGAACAGCCTATACCAGAAGGCCCAGCAGCCAGTGAGGATGCTGTGAAGGAGGAACACTCATTCACTGCCACGGTACTGACTGGTTTATTAGCCTCTATGGAAAGAACATTGAAACATTAGAAAGAGGTTGATCCCATGCAGTGGCTCCACTCCTTGGCAGCTACCCCAAGAATATCCAAGGGCCCAACAACCGATGAAAAAACAAAGAAATTGGGACCCATATATACAGTAGAATACCACTCAATTATAAAAAGGGATGAAATCCGAACTTTTGCTACAACTTGGGTGGAACTAAGGGTTGTCGTGTTAAGTGAAATAAGTCAGAGGGAGGACAAATGCTAGATGAATTCACTCATATGTGGTATACAAAGAGACAAAGAAAGGGACTAGGGAATATAAAGAGTATATAAAGAGACAAAGAAAGGGACTAGGGAATGGTAAAAGAAAAATCCTTGGACTGACAACATGATTGAGATTACGATTTGTGTAGGGGTGGAGTGAGGTGCTGAGGAGAGATGGGGTAGGTAATACTACTGTAAAAATATGTATATACATGTGTGTATATTTATTAAAAATTATTTGCTCATTACCAAACTATTTCCATAACTAAAATATCACTGGGGCTGGAGCGATAGCACAGTGGGTAGGACGTTTGCCTTGCACACAGCCAACATGGCCGACCCGAGTTCGATTCCTCCGCCCCTCTCGGAAGCCTGGCAAGCTACTGAGAGTATCTCGCCCGCACGGCAGAGCCTGGCAAACTACCCGTGGTGTATACGATATGCCAAACACAGTAACAATGAGTCTCACAATGGAGACGTTACTGGGCCCGCTTGAGCAAATCGATGAGCAACAGGAGGACAGTGACAGTGACAAAATATCACTGAGCTGGAGCAATAGCACAGTAGGTACGGCGTTTGCCTTGCACGTGGCCGACCTGGGTTCAATTCCTCCATCCCTCTTGGAGAGCCCGGCAAGCTACCAAGAGTATCCCGCCTGCATGGCAAAGCCTGGCAAGCTCCCCGTAGCATATTTGATTTGCCAAAAACAGTTACAACAAGTGTCACAATTAAGACGTTTCTGGTGCCCACTCGAGCAAATCAATGAACAACGGGAGGACAGGACAGTGCTACAGTGCAAAATATCACTAAATAAATGTTAAATATGTATTTGTTTGTTTGGGGGCACATCTGGCAGTGCTCAGAGGTTACTCTTGGCTCTGCGCTCAGGGATCACTCCTGGCTCTTGGCTCAAGGATCACTCTTAGCAGCACTCAGTTGGCCATATGGAGCATCCAGGATTCGGCCATGTGCCAGGGAAATGCCCTCCTGTTGTGCTACCACTCTAGTCCGGCACTGTGCTGTTTTGGTCTGTATTATCCCCAACCTTTCAGGTGTTCAGACCACAGAGGAGGGGCTAGGAAGAGAGCTCTGGGAGCTAGAGCAGAGGTGCTGACAGTGATCCCCAGCATCACTCAGTTCCCTGAGCAACCCCCAGCATCACCAGGCCTGAGCAGTAAATCCACAGAGCCAGACACTGCAGGGCCCCCTGAGCATGGCCTGCGAGGTCTTCTGCCAATTAGATTTAAAAAAAGAAAAAGCAGAGAGGGGAGTCTTTATAATGAAACTGACCTTTCACCCCACTTTTCCGAAGTTCTCGGTCCTGGATGAACCCTGCAAACATCTGCGTTTCCATGAAGAGATCGAGGAAGTGGCGCACACTTCGGGAGGTGTGGGATTTCCGGAAAGGCTCCCTCTGGAATATACGCTCCCCACGCTCAGTGACGATCATATTTAAAGAGTAATGTCCCACCAATTCCACAAAAAAACGGACAAATGCCTCAGACACCAGAGAGTTGAGAGTAGCATCTGCAAAATGAATAAAAAAGAAAGAAGAGCAGTCAGATGTGACCCAAAACAAGTGAACAGAAGCAAAGGGCTTACGTCCTTACCTTCATTTTCCCCATGCACCCTTGCTAGGTCTTTTGGCCTGGCTTGCACAACTATAATTCACTAGAAACACTGTTTCGAAGACCAGCAATGATCATCAGCCACATCGCATGTACTTTTCTAGGTTCAGACTCCTTTAGACTCTGTTGATTTGTGCTGCTCAGTTCTTCCTTCCCTGCCTCCCACAACTTTACACTTTCATGACTTTGATTCTACTCCTGTCTTCAGGGTCAAGAATTAACTTTCCCTGGCCACTCCTTCCTTCTCCTGAGCATGCTTCTCAGATCACTCATCTTAAATCTCAATCTCTCTGTCTCCTTCTTCCCCCCTCTTTCCTCTCTCCCCCTCTCTCTTCCTCTGTATCTCTCTCTCCCTCTCTCTCTCTCCTTGTACCTCTCTTTCCCTCTCTCTCTCTCTCTGGTTTTGGAGCCACACTCAGCAGTGCTCATGGCTATTCCTGACTTTAAACTCAAAGATTACTCCTGCCAGTGCTCTGGGAACCATATGGGATTCTGGAACTGAACTAGGGTTGGCTGCATGCAAGGCAAGCACCCTGTGAACCATACTATCTCCCTAGCCAACATTCTCTTAACTAATCTGCACAGAATTAAAGTTTCCATGTTGAAAATTCTCATCCTTAGATCTCCAGTCATGATGTTTCATCAATATTTTCCTATATCTTCAGGTTATCAATGAAAATATGTCCTATCATAACATCATTTGGGTTTTCCATTTGCATTTAAATTGAATTAAAAGTATCCATACTTGGTCTGTTTTTAGAAGTTGGCAGATGAATCAAACAAATAAATATACAACGCCAGATGCATTATTCCCCCCTCCCCAAAGTCAATTTTTCAATTTTCTCCTTTCATTAGCACCATAATTATTCCATCGTAAGTAACAATGAATACAATATGTAACGTATTGAATACAAGACATGTTGGGTACTATACTAGTGCTTTTCTAATCTGGGGTTGGAGAGACGTACAGCAGATAGGGCTCTTGACTTGCAAGTGGCCAACCCAGCTTCAATTCCCGGCACCTGATATAATACCTTAAACCCTAAATGCAGAGCCAGGAGTGAGTCTAACAAACCAAGTGAGGCCCACCCGACTCCAAAGAACTCAAAGGTATGAATCCTGGGGCTAGAGAGATATTGTAAGGATCAACTGCCTTCCACCTGGCACATGGCAGACTGGATTTGGTCCCTGGCACTCTATACGGTACCCCAAGATCTGCCAGGAGTGATTCCTGAGTGCAGAGATAGGAGTAAGCTCAGAGCAGTACTGGGGGTACCCAAAACAAACAAACAAAAAAATCCGAGAAAAACTGAAATGAAATGGTTCAACACTGTGGTTAGATTTCCTACTTTTTTTTTCTTTATGGGTCACACCTGGGGATGCATAGGGGTTATTCCTGGCTCTGCACTCAGGAATTACTCCTGGCAGTGCTCGAGGGACCATATGGGATGCTGGGAATGGAACCCGGGTTGGCCTCGTGCAAGGCAAACGCCCTACCCGCTGTGCTATCGTTCCAGCCCCAGATTTCCTTCTTTTGGACTGGGTAAAGGATCCAGGAAAGGAGAAGAAAAGGAGCGACTAGTGAAGCAAGAGAGAAACCAGGCATGTGACTGGCGAGAGCCTGATGAGGAAACTCCACAGGGCTGGAGAGAGAGCAAGGCTGGCTGACGGCAGGCAGAGCTTGCCCCACTGGGAGCAACATCACAGCTGGAAAGACTCCTGCCACCGCACCCCCAGGAGTGGCCAAAACCTAGAAAAAGACAAGCCTAAACAAAAAACAATTTGACAAAGAATAAAGAGTTCTTAGTTTTCTCACCTATCACATAGAGATTAAGCAGCAGTACCCAATTTATAAATAAGGGTTTTATAAAGATGAAATAAAATGTATGCTAAGTGTTCAACACGGTGGCTCATACCACAGTGCCAACAAATAGATATTCGCCATTTATCCAACAAATACTATTGAGTAGCTGTTTGTTTAATACACTTAATGTATCAGACATAAAAAAACAAAACAGTTTCTGTTGCATGGATTCACGTGTTCATCAGACAGGAATGCAAAGCTGTGGTGAAATCAATCTGGGAGGGAGAGAGAGAATCTAAGAGAAGGAGCACAATTTAATTAATTAATTAATTTTGGAGGGCCCACCTGGCGCTGCTCAGGAGTTGATTACTCCTGGTTCTGCACACTGGAATCACTCCTGGTGGTGCTCAGGGCACCATTTGGGGTACTGTGGAGCAAACCCAGGTCAGCTGCACGTAAGGCAAGCAACCTACCTGCTGTACTATTGCTCTGGCTCAGGAGCATAATTTTACGATAGCCAGGAAAGACTCACTGAGAACATGACATCTGAGTATGAACCTACAGAGCTGCATAGGGAACAGAAGCAAGCATGTGAAAAGGTCCGAAAATAGAAGGGGAATGGGCACTTTGGAGTACCAGGAAGGAAGTGATTTTAGGCCATACGCAGGATCACCAACCACTCCTGCAAGTCCCGTATCAGGGTGCTGGGAATTTAGTAAATATTTGTTGCCTCAACTTGAAGGTCTTAGCTCACATGTTTCATACCTTGTGAAAAATTCGGCTCCTGGGCTAAGATTTCATTTCGTTCTTCCAAAATCTGTGTGAGGGCAGCTTGGAGTTTGGGTGGCAGAATTTCATCCTCATCAGATACCTCAAGAGCAAAAATTGATATTCCTTATGAGCTTTGAAAAGAAAACTCTCAAATATACAACTTGTCAGGGGGCCTAAATTTTCACAAGTGACTTTTTTTTAGGAGGGACGGTGCCCACACCCAGAAATGTTTAGTGCTTACTCCTGGCTCTGCACTCAGGAGTCACTCCTGGCAGAACTTGGGGGACCATATGGAATGCTGGGATCAAACCTGTGTCGGTCACATGCAAGGCAAACACGCTTCCCACTGTGCTACTGCTCTGGCCCAAAGTGACTTTCTATTTTGACTGAAGACTCAGTCTCAAACTTCCTCCCTTATGTTGAGCAGAATCTCTGAGGCTTATGGTATTTATATCATACATATATTTTTAAAATAACATGCAATAAAATTCACAGTCTTTGTCATCTTTATACTAAATATCTCTCATTTTTATCAGTCTATTTAGTGAAAACCACCTTCCAATAGATGGTATTCATCACAAAAATGATGAGCTTATTGATTTGGGGGAAAAGAGGGATTTTATTTCCACCTGTGCTCAGCACTCTTAAGTCTATATTCAGGTTACATACAGGGCTTTTCTAAGTCAGAAAAACACCCTCTGTTGCGAGGGGTGGGGGGTCCACCCGGCAGTGCTCAGGGGGACCATATGAGATGGCGGGGATCAAACCTGGATCAGCTGCATGCAAGGCAAATACCCTCCCTGCTGTACCTGCCGCAGCCCCTAAGTTAGCTTTTAATGACTAACTCTAACTTTCATTTTCCACACCCAAAATAAATCACAACTTCTTTCTATGTCTTGAACAAATTTCTATTATCTCATTTCTAAATCTTTAAGGATGCTGTGTGCTCTTCAGGTCACACCATTAGAATACAAGGCCTGAGGGGCCAAGCTGTGTTTAATTTATCCTTAGACTTGACTGCATAATAGTTTCTAGAAATAATCCATGTTTAATAATAAATGCTTGATCTATTTAATTAAATTGCAGGTTTATGTCAATCCATTTGGATTTGAAGGGAGGCTTACCTCTTTTGAGAACGACATTTAATCTGTTTCCTTCTTCCTTCTTTGTAACAAATAGCTTCAAGTTCAAGCCAAATTTTCAGGTCAATTTGGTACAAATGCCCACAGTGCCATACGTATGTATGTAGAAACTAAAACTGAGTCATCTTCTCTAAACGTTTTTGCATATTCTCAGTTCAATTATACCCAAACATTGTATAATAATATCTTTTGTCACTCACCTCCTGTAAAAACTTGTCTGCACAAAGATCAACTATCAGCACCTATGGGATAAAGAAGCCAAATAAGTTAGATGGAAGTGAGAAACAGAGAAATACACTGAAAGTGCGAGGTCAGGAAGAACGTTTGGGTTCTTCTAGAGATAGGAACATTTTTAAACAAAACTTAAGGTGTTGGGGCCAGAGAGAGAGGACAGGGTGGAAGGAGTGTGCCTTGCATGCTGCTGACCCGGATTTGATCCCCAGTATCCTGGAGTTCCCCAGGATGATGGGCTGAAAATCACTGGGACTTGCCCCCAGATTTGCTGAGCAATGTAGGGGAGGTCTAAGACAAAAAGAATTAAAGCATAAGGTTAAGGGGCTGGATCAATAGTACAGCACGTCGGGCACTTGTCTTGCACACAGCTGACCCAGGCTCTATCCCCAGTACCCCATATGGTTTCATGTGCCTACCAGGAGTGATGTCTGAGAATAGAGCCAGGAGTAAGCCTTAAATATCATGAAGTGTGGCCCAAAAACAGAACAGCAAAACAAAAAGAAAAGGGCAAATTAAGGCATCGACATACCAACAAACAAGTTGCAGGTACCAATGCATAGTTCAGTGGACTGAGCACAAACTCTGCAGCATGCAGGAAGTCAGGTTTCACCCCTAGTATCATAGAGTCCTGAGAACTGCCAGGAGTGTCCCCTGAGCATTGAGTCAGGAGTAACTTCTGAGCACCATTGAGTATGACAAAAAAAAAAAAAAAACAGAACAAATCAATTGCAGGCAAGCTCAGAGGACTGGAGTGCATGCTTTGCATATGGGAAGACCCCTAACACCATGTGGGACCCTGAGTGTCACAGAGAGTAACCCCTTGTCACAAGCATGAAGCCAGGAACAGCCCCTGAGTACTGCTGGCTACGACAAAACAAAACAAAAAAACTCCCCCAAATACAAAAAATATATATTTAAAACATCCAAAAAGCATATATACATATATGCTGCATTTCTATATACTAAGATCAAACTATCTGAAAGAACTTAAAAAAAAACAATTCTTTCCATTGCTGAGGAAAACAAGTAACCCTTATTCACTGTGGATGGAAATGTAAACTAGTTCAACCTTAAGCAGTCTGGAAAGTTCTCAAGACAAAACAAAAAACGACTCATAAAAAAAAACAATTATCATATGATGTAGCGAGTCTACTCCTAGTTACCCATTCAAAGAAAAAAGCACTAATTCAAAAATAAAAATCTCAACTTATGCTCATTGCAGCACTTTTTACAATAGTCAGTAACTGGAAACAAACCAAGTGTCCAAACACAGGTGAGTGGGTAAAGAAGATATGGTGCTGGGTTGGATCTATAATACAGCAGATAGGTCTCCATCTTCAACACCTTATATGGTTCCCTGAGCCCACAAGCAGTAATTTCTGGGTGCTGAACCAGGAGTAACCCGTGAGCAGACCCTTCAACACTCACAGTAATATTAATGGAAATCAAGATACATCAATTAAAAAATATGCCAGGCTTAGAATGTGTGTGCATGTGCATGTGCGTGCATGAGTGTATGCGTGCGTGAGTGCATATGTGTTTGTGTGTGTGTGTGTGTGTGTGTGTGTGTGTGTGTGTGTGTGTGTACACTGTATGGTCTACTATTTCTATTAATCCAAAAGACAGGAAAAACTGATTTATATTACTTAGGGACACACGCCTGGAATATAAAACTACAAAGGAAAACAAGTCACAAAACACTTTGACAGTCAAGATAGAGGTTATCTGAGAGAGAGAGAGAGAGAGAGAGAGAGAGAGAGAGAGAGAGAGAGAGAGAGAAAGTGCCCGACACAGAAGCAGGCGGTGTGGGGGTGAGTTGGAAGGTGGGCAAAACTGGAAACACTGGTGGTGGGAAATGTACACTGGTGAAGGAACAGGTGTTGGAACATTATGTAACTGAAACCCAATCATCAACAACCTTATACCTGTGTATCTCACAGTGACTCATTAAAAAAATTTAATAAAAAATTTAAAAAAATATAAAGATTACTTTTTGTCAGAGGTGGGAAAGACAGTTAAAAACAGAAGAATGAGCCAGAGCAATAGGTAGGGTATCTGCCCTGCATGCAGCCGACTGGAGATGGATCTCTGGCATCCCATACGGTGCCTGAGCACCACCGGGACTAAGTCCTCAGTGCAGAGCCAGGACTAAGCCCCGAGCATCACTGGATGTGATCCAAAAAGCAACAAAACAAACCAAAACTCAGAAGAATGAGCCCATAGATTATTACTACTAATAAGACAAAAAAATTCAATGGAATTTCTCATTTCATTAAAATAAAACATGAAAGCATAATGTATTTATACTGTAGCCCCATATTAACAACTGTGATCTTAAAGCATTTATTCTCTTTTGATTTTTTGTTTTTTGGGCCATGCATGCCCCTGTGCTCAGGGACTGCTCTTGGGAACACTTTGGAAGCTTGGTGGCTGGGTGAGGCCAGTGCCTTGCCTTTTTCCTCCAGCCCCTGAATCGCTGGTTTGATTTGCCAGTGTCTCATGTTCTCTATGGTACCACACTCCCTGTCTCACCTCTTCAATGGGCAGGTCCTGGAGCTGCGGCAAGGAGCAGGACAGGATCCCAATCAGGAATGGGGTAGGGGAGCAGACGATGTCAATCATGGATGCTGGCAGGACAGGGATGTAGGTGTGCTGCCACGTGAACGGGTACAGGGTGGCCACGACGGCATGTCCACACTTGGATAGGGTGCTGGGCAGGGAGAGAGCATGTGGCATATACTGACAACACAAGCACTTTGAGGATTCACAGATTTTAGTTACAGACTACCAGATTGATGCTTTAACCAGAAATTATTCCTTATTTAATTTGGTGCTAGGAATTGGACCTGGGGCTCCACGTATGAGAAGTATGAACTCTACCATTGAGTTATGTCACCGGCCCCAATTCAATTTTTTTAAAAATACATTGTAAAAATACATCTTTAATTTTCTATTATTTATTTATTTCTGGCTTTGGGGCCTCACTGGGCAATGCTCATGTGTTACTCCTGGCTCTGCTCACAGGAATCACTCTTGGCAGTGCTCAGGGGGCCATATGGGATGCCAGAGATCTAATCCAGATCAGCTGCATGCAAGGCAAACACCTTATCCACTGTACTATCTCCCCGCATGACCCTCATTCCATTTTTTAAACATTCTATTTACTTTAGCTTAATTTACTTCTAATTTCAATTCAGCTCTTTCCCAAAACTGACACTGATAAAAATTAGTGTATACTAAGGAATGATAACACAGTGGTAGGGCATTTGCCTTGTGCGCAGCCGGCTGGCCGAGCCGGGTTTGATTCTTCCGCCCCTCTCGGAGAGCCTGGCAAACTACCGAGAGTGTCACGCCTGCATGGCAAAGCCTGGCAAGCTAACCGTGACGTATCTGATATGCCAAACACAGTAACAACAAGTCTCACAATGAAGACATTACTAAGGCTCGCTCGAGCAAATTGATGAACAACAGTGACAACTGCTGATAAAAATTAGTGTTAATATTAGTGTTTATTAATAAACACTGATAAAAATTAGTGTTAACTAAAAAGTAACGAGGGGGAGTACACAGCTGGCAACGCTCTGGTGCCACCCTGGCTCTGTGTTCAGAGGACCATGCTGTGCCAGAGACTGAACCTGGCCTGCAGAGCCTGCATGCCACCCTTTAAATTGTCGCTCCTGAATAACACTATAAACGTGCCATACTTAGAAGAGCAAATACAAGACAGCTCCCAAGAGTCGCTGCTATAGCTAAGGACTCCTGCTATTGATTGCTTGGAGCAATTCACATCATTAAAGCTTCGGAACCCTTGAGTCCAGAAATACAGTGGGTAGGGCATTTGCCTTGCATGAGGCTGACCGGGTTTGATCCCCAGCATCCCATATGGTTCCCTCACCCTGCCAGGAGTAATTTCTGAATGGAGAGCCAAAAAAATGCCCTGAGCACAGCCACGTGTGGCCCCAAAACAAACACAAACACAAATAAATGAATAACGCTCTGGGACTCTACAGATCTTTACCACACCCCATTTTCTATCAGTGAGAAACAAATAGAACACTAGCAGCAGTGACAGGTTTTTCTTTGGTCTCACCTTAAACTGTTGGCGACAAAGATCACCCTCCGCTCCAGAAGGAGAGAGGCACAGACTCGGACGAGATGGCACACACTCAGGCACTTAAATAGACACTCAAAGTCCACATGCTCCAGGCGAGAGTCCAGCGGGCGGCAGAGCTCAATTGACTGAAATGCAAGAATCTGAATCAGGGGTCTGAGGTCGGAAAACATCTTCCATGATGCAGACGGCTCCTGCCATTGCTTAGATTCTACTGCAAAGAGTGGGTGAGTGGTGCTATGGTAGCTCTAACACCTAATTTTGTGTGTGTGTGTGTGTGTGTGTGTGTGTGCAAACACAGATCTAGGATGAATAATCTCTTAAAATTAACTTGGATAGAATGGAAAAAGGCACATGAGAAAATGCTCTACATCATTAATCATCAGGGAGATACAGATCAAAACAACAATGAGATATCATCTCACACCAGAAACTGGCCCACATCCAAAAGAACAAAAGCAACTGGTGTTGGCACGGATGTGGCGAGAAAGGGACCCTCCTTCACTGCTGGTGGGAATGCCAACTGGTTCAGCCCTTTTGGAAAACAGTATGGACGATTCTCAAAAAATTAGAAACTGAGCTCCCATTTGACCCAGCAATACCACTCCTGGGAATATATCCCGGAGCGGCAAAAAAGTATAGTTGAAGAGACATCTGCACTTGTTTGTTCATTGTAGCACTCTTTACAATAGCCAGAATCTGGTAAAAACCTAAGTGCCTGAGAACAGATGACTGGTTAAAGAAACTTTGGTACATCTACACAATGGAGTACTATGTAGCTGTTAGAAAAGATGAAGTCATGAAATTTACATACAAGTGGTACTACACGGAAAGTATCATGCTAAGTGAAATGAATCAGAAAGAAAGGGATAGACATAGAAAGATTGCATTCATCTGGGGAACATAAAGTAACAAAATAGGAGACTAACACCCAAGAATAGCCGAGAGATAAGTACCAGGAGGTTTACTCCATGGCTTGAAGGCCAGCCACACATGCTGGGGGAAAAGGCAGCTCAGATAGAGAAGGGAGCACCAAGTAAATGGTGGTGGGAGAATCCTCCCAGGATGGGAGATACATGCTGAAAGTAGACTATAGACTGAACATGATTGCTACTCAATGCCTCTTTTGCAAATCACACCACCCAAAAGGAGAGAGATAACAAAAGGGAATGCCCTGCCACAGAGGCAGGATGGGATGGAGGGGGTGGGGGGGTGGGAGAGATACTGGGATCATTGGTGGTGGAGAATGGGCACTGGTGGAGGGATGGGTACTCGATCATTGTATAACTGAAACCCAAGCACAAAAATTTGTACGTCCACAACTGTACCTCATGGTGTTTCACTAATAAAATTTTTTTAAAAAAAGCAAGCTAATCACAAAATAAATAAACATTTATTTTTTGGAGACATGATAATTATATTATTTTCTCAATATATGTAATATTTAAACATATTTAATTGATTTTATTAATTTTAATAACAAAATATTAAAATATTAGTAATATTTAAAAAATTAACTTGGATAGTTAGTTCTCCGTTGCTTTTGCAGAACTAAAACCTATCCTTCACAGTTTCTGGGAAAGGAAAAACTGCCTTGTTTTCTGAAGACTCTTGTTAAAACTGTCAAGTCTCCTTTTAGGGTCAGCAAATTTTTTAGAAACAAGTGAGGAACTTACGCCGTCACCGGCCCCAGGGAGGTAGCTCTTAACCGTGATGGTGCGTCCAGGGGCTGGGAAAGGGGCTTCCATCACGCTTCGCATGAATGGGTACACCAGGGCTGGAGACATTTCTCTTCTCTTCTCTACTTCATCTAGAATCTGTGAACACAGGGGCCAGAGACAGTATTGGGGTTAAGATGCCTGCTTGCATGTGGCCAACCCTTGCTCAATACCCATTCTAGCAGAGGTGAGCCCTGAGCACAGAACCAGGAGCAGCCTCTGAGCAACTGAGAGATATGGCCCACCCACCCCAACTCTCTCCTACAAAAAGAATCTATGAGCACAAAATGTATTATTTTACTATTGATTCAATTCAGAAAAATAATGAAAAGAATCCTATTAATGAACTACCAAATTTAGTGGACAAACTTGAAAATAACACCAACAGATTTTGAGATATTAAGTTCTTTTTTTTTAATTAAAAATTTTTTTCAATTAGGGGCCAGAGCAATAGTACAGTGGGTAGGGTATTTGCCTCGCTCGCAGGTGACCAAGGTTCAATCCCATATGGTCCTCTGAGCACTACCAGGAGTGAGTCCTGAGTGCAGAGCTAGGAGTACCCCCTGAGCATTGCTGGGTGTGGCCCAAAAACAAAAACAAAAGAATTTTTTAAAAATTGAATCACCATGAATTACAGAGTTACAGAGTTACTTATGACTGTGTTTCCGGAGTACAGTGTTCCAACGCCAATCTGGCCAGAGTGACCACTTCCTATGTCACTGTCACAGTGATCCCTTCCCTGTCCTGTACCACATCTACGACATTAATGTCTAACTTTTTAAAAAATTTGTTTTTGGACCCTACCCAGCATTGCTCAGGGCTTACTCCCAGTTCTGAGCTTAGGGATCACTCCTAGTGGGGCTCAGGAACCATGAGGGGTGCTCCCGGGTTCAATCCCGGGTCAGCCGTGTGTGCAAAGCAATTGTCCTACCCTCTGTACTAGCACTCCAGCCCCTCTAAGGCATTAACTTCTACAACCACTAAATGTTCACCAGTAGCACCACATTTCTTGGGGATATCTTTACTTCCTCCAAAACAAATTTATTTAATAAGGTATTTTTTAACTTCTTCTTCTTTTCTTTTTTGAAGAGGACCTCTTTTTCATCTCACTAAGGTGAAAGCAAAGAGACTGAAATACTAGATTTTGGGATCTGGGAAAAACACAGGCGCTTCCTAAACTTAATTGGCCTACAGCCCATCCTTTGGGAAAACAAAGCAAAACAAAATTTCTTAATACTTCCTTGGAAATCTACTTTATTTGAGGAAACAAACAGAATACACCACCTACTGCACTCAAGGCTACCCTTGCACCCCACCCGGTTGTTACTGCATTCCGCAGAGGGCAGTACAGCCCACTCTGGGAACAATGGACTTTAGGACAGGAGGGTTAGCAAAGCAAAGTGAAGGGGAACTGGCAATGGCACCTGGATTTGAGATGTGAGTTTAAGTCTTCAAAACTGTGATTTGAACTTACTAATGGAGAACCCTTTCTAAAGCAGTCTGTTACATTGCTGAGTAGTCACCAGAAAGTCCCCAAATGTACTCAGAATCTCAGAAAGAACAATAGTTTTCACAGGGACATTCTCTACTCACCTTGGAAAACAGGTTGAAGCAGCCGAGGCGACTGACCATGCAGTACACCTCTGGGAGTCGCTTTCCTCTGCCTTCTGGCTAATGAAAAAAAACCAAGAAGAAATCAGCCTAAGTCTCTACTAATTTCAATTGTTAATACTTTTGTGCTACCCTTTAACACAGAGTCAGAACCAAGATTATCATGTTCACTGAACAGTAAAAGATGGAGAAAGTGCTAAAAATGGTGGCAGGATTTATTCCAGGCTAGTGGGGACACTAAACATAAGTAACTCAGAGCTCCCTCCAGTGGCTCATTTTATTCCATCCCTTAAGTATATTTACATGCATGTATGCCTCCACCCACCCCCCCCCCCCCCCCCCACTTCCACCCTCTCTGTCGTTCTCTCTCTCTTTGGATTTTGGGTTACATGCAGTGATGCTCAGGGATTACTCCTCATTCTGCACTCAGGAACTATTGGCAGTTCTTGGGGGACCATATGGGTTTCTTGCCTGGGTTGGTTGCAGGCAAAGCAAGCACCCTACAAACTATACTAAGGTCCTTTCAGACTTATATTTAATAATTCAGACTTATATTTATAATTCAGTGGCTTCTTTCCTGACTCTTTCAATTCTTTTGTTGTTGTTGTTGTTTTGTTTTGGGGGCACACTTTCTATTCTTGAACACTCTATGGTTAACCTCCATCTTGTTACTCAAGTATCCTATTGCTTTCTAAAAAAACTGTTCAGGCTCTATATTATAGCTCAAACACTATGTTCAAATAAAATATATTCTTTAGTGCACAGATAACTGCAAAGTCCTGAAATTCATTTCCAGAAGATGTCTCTGAACCCCCTGGTCTATTGTGTCCTGATCAGCTCTGCCTATACTCTGAGTCTGATACTTACCAAGAGCTTCTTACAGTAACCAAACCACCGGCTTCCGTCTTCACCAGTTAAGACAAAGGAGAACGTTTCACTGAAAAGGTAATCAGTAATTTGAGATCCAAACAACAGCCTTGAAAATTAGCAACCAACAATTACTTTATGATTTGAGGGAAGATTTTAACATTTCATTTCCTGCAAGTCACATTCTTTCTTAGACAGAACAATTAGAGGCTGGGTTGTCTCCTACTAATCTACACTGCCTCCTACTTTTGACTTTTTTTTTTTAATGGGAGGGATGCTCCCTCCAGCCATACTGGTGCTGGGATCCACTTCAAGGACTAGTTTAAAGAAGGCAAGAGCCCCAATCTTTGAGATATTTCCTTGACCCAGTTCAGTTATTAATCAAGTCTGTTTTATTATTTTGTTGAATTTCTAAATCTAGCCAAACTACTCGAAGGCTATAAAGGATTTTTTTTTTGCCACACCTAGCAGTGCTTAGGGCTTACTTTTGGCTCAGAGCTCAAGGATCACTTCTGATGGGTTTGGGACACATGGGGTGCCAGGAATCAAATTCAGGTTGACTGTATGCTAGGCAAGCACCCCCCTACCCACTATACTATATTTCCAATTGTGGGCTATAAAAATTTTTGAGAAGACACTGTCCCCATTCCTTGCAGGGATATTGTGTATGTGTGTGTTTGGGTCATACCCAGAGGTGCACCCAGAGCTTATTCCTAGCTCTAGTCTCGGGAATTACTCCTGGTGGTGCTTGGGGCACCACATGGGACTCTGGGGTTTGAACCAGGTCATATGTGCTGAACTAGGTAACCCGTGTGCAAGGCAAAGTGGTATTAGTTTATGATATTTGGTAGCACAGTGGTAGGGCGTTTGTCTTGCACGCAACCAGCCTGGCCAAGCCAGTTTCGATTCCTCCGCCTCTCTTGGAGAGCCCGGCAAGCTACCAAGAGTATTTCACTCACATGGCAAAGCCTGGCAAGCTAACCATGACACATTCAATATGCCAAACACAGTAACAGCAAGTCTCAAAAAAATGGAGAAGTTACTGAGTACACTCGAGCAAATCGATGAACAATGGGAAGACAGTGTTTGGTCCACTCCTGGAAGTGTTCAATCACGGCGGGGGTCTATTGCTAGCTCTGAGGTCAGGACAACGTATGTGGTTCCAGGGATCAAATAAGGGTTCGCTACCTGCCAGGCAAGTGCTTTATGCTCTGTACTGTATTTCTGGCCCTCAAATTCTTTCATTATCTCTGAGAGGTCATATGAAATAGTATATTATCAATATGTAAAAAACTATAGGAAAAAAGAATTCTTCTTTACACACAGAGGCAAAAATATATACATGTAATTTACAAAAAGAAGTCCTCAAGACAAAAGAAGAAATTCTCTGAGGGGAAGATATGTGGGGGTGCAGAGGGACCAAAGATACTAGTGAGCACAGCTGGGTCAGGGATATATATATTGGTGAAGCTGCCACCATATTTGTTTTTTTTTTTTTTTCGTTTTTGTGTCACTCCCAGCAAGGGTGAGAGCTCTGCACTCAGGGATCACTCCTTTTGGTGTTTGGAGGACCTTATAGGATGCCAGGGATGGAATTCAGGTCGACTGCGTGAAAGGCAAGTACCCTACCCACTGTATTATCTCTGCAGCCCATCATTTCTATTCTTGCAACATTTCTCTAAATTTAGAATTGCTCCCAAATAGAGCTTTAAATTAAAAAAAATTGTATAATAATCAAACCCAATTTATTTATTTATTATTTTTTAAATGTAGGAGTATTGCTATTTATTCAGCCATTGATTAGGCTGATTGAATTCGGCATGAACTCCACCTTATATATATTTTTTAAATAAATTTATTTATTGAATCACCGTGAGAGCAGTTACAAAGCTTTCGGGTTTAAGTCTTGGTCATACAAGGATGAAACACCTGTCCCTTCACCAGTGGCCATTTTCCACAACCAAAAACCCCAGTATAACCCCCATTCCACGCCCTCCCCCTACCTTGTGGGGCAGATTATTTCCACATTACTCTCTCTCTACTTTGATTACATTCAGTATTTCCACACCAGACCCACCATTATTATTTGGGATTTTACCCCAACACTCAGATCTGCTGAAAAGGCAATCATAGACAATTTGTTTTCTATTGCTGGTTAAGAATAACATATGATGTCACGCAGGCACAGCAGTGGCCACACGATTTTGAAATTCTGAAATTTTAACAATTAAATCTGGAGGGACTTCTGCCAAAACCTGCTGGGTTCTGAGATTTGTTCCTGAGTCTCTGGGATCATGGCCGTTAAGCATCTTGATCAGAAGCCAGAGAGGCTGTTGATGGGCGGCGACTTGGGGCGGGGAGAAAAAGACCGGCTCCACCCCCATCCTGTGAGGCCCAGAGTGTCTCGTCACTGTGGGCCCAAACCTCACTGTCCAGTGACCTCTGGAGAATGGTGGCCACTGAGTCGCCAGGGAAATAGGCCAAGGCACGAAACCTATTCCCACCTGGGGTGGCCCAGTGCTGGTAACCTACTGCAGGGACCGGATGCATTTCTGCCAAAAGCCTCTGGGTTCCGATATTGTTTCTGAGTCTCTGGGATCATGACCATTAGGCAGCTTGATCAGGAGCCAGAGAGGCCATTCATGGGTGGCGACCACTGAGCCGCCAAGAGGGAGAAGGGGGAGGAACAAGCACCCTTTCTCCCCTGCGGTGGCCCAGTGCCGGTAACCTACTGCGGGACCAGACACGTTTCTGCTAAAAGCCACAGGGTTCCAAGATTTGTTTCTGAGTCTCTGGGAAGATGGCCATTAAGCAGTTTGATCAGAAATCAGAGAGGCCTTGACTCCAATTATATAGCTGAGCCCAAGGTGGTTTGTGGGTGTTTCTCCCACATACCTAACTTTTGCCTGTTTACTTTCTTGGTAAACTTGACCCCAAGTTGTTGGGATCTGGCCAAAGGCACAGTGGTAATTCTGGGTATCTAGAAGTCTGAAGGCACCAACAGGCCGCTGATGCACTCACCTCACAGGTACAGATTGACCTGCTGGCGGCACCATACCCCATCAAACCCATTTTAAATATGTGTATATATAGGATAAAAATTAAGACTGGAAAAAATGACAATATATTTAAATGTTTACACTGATAGGGCTAGAGCAATAGCACAGTGGTAGGGCATTTGCCTTGCGCGCAGCTGGCCCGGCCGAGCCAGGTTCAATTTCTCTGCCCTTCTCAGAGAACCTGGCAAGCTACTGAGAGTATTTCGCCTGCACAGCAAAGCCTGGCAAGCTACCTGTGACGTATTCGATATGCCAAACACAGTAACAACAAATCTCACAATGGAGACGCTACTGGGCCCACTCTAGCAAATCAATGAGCAATGGGAGGACAGTGCTACAGTGCTACACTGAGTAATCAAAAATCCAGTGACTTATAATTTGTGCTTTTAATTTTATTCTGTGAACATCTCAAATACTCTAAAATAAACACACATATATTTATATATTTTAACCATATATATTTATATATTTTAACCATATAGGCAAGGAGGGGGTGCAGGGAGCAAGTAATCAACCACGGAACAGCAGCCAGGCCAATGGGAAAGAAACTGCATGTGGAACCGATAAACTGACAAGAAGAGAGCATCAGGCCTGATGTCAGTATGCGAGAGGCAATAGGCCTGAGTGGTCAAGAGAAAGCAGCTCAGTGTGGAGGCACCTGGGAGGTGCCTGTGGAGGCACTGTTTCACAGTGACCTGGGAAACAGCTGTGGTTGTCTCCCAGCAGGCCATCAGTACAAGACATGGGTTGATAGAATCAGCTTTTTCATGCCAAACAGCATCTTTGATAATTACAGTTTGAACAAAATCTATTTATGAGCAGGATTCTGAGAACACGTGCCTTATTGAGGGAACACAGTCCCTCTGGCTCCGGAGGCCGCTCTTTACTTCCCTTGCCAGTGTCCCCACACACCCCAGATGGAGTCGCTCTTCATGCATGCTCCAGGGAAGAGGCGTTAAGGCAGTGCTTCTAGCATGCTCAGGATGACATGAGTCAGACACTGCTCTGTCTCACCCCTGCTCTAAATGGTATCCTGAATTCAAGTCTTTTTTTCCCCTCTCTTTCTACAGGTTGTCATGCTCAGGGAGCTGGGGGGGGGCACTCTAGTGACAATCAGCCCAGCCAGCCATGGGTGTTGCTTGAGCTTGGTGGTCCTGAAGGGCACCAGGACCATACCCAGTGGAGCCTGGGTGACCATCCAGTGCCTTTGCACACAAAGCATGCACTCCAGCCCTTTAAGACCTTTTTTGTTTTGTTTTTATTTTTGGACCACACCCAGTAATCCAGGAGAGGAATCACTCCAGGCAAGCTTGGGGACCATATGGGATGCTGGGGATCAAATCCAGATCGGCCGCATGAAAGACAAATGGGCTATAGTATTGCTCTGGCCCCCCTGCCCCTCTTGAGACATCTTACTGATCCCTCTCTTTCTCTTTCCTGAGCCCCACGAAGGAAGCATTCTAATGTTTCTTTCTTTCTTTCCTGTCAATGCATCTATAACCTGTCACAGCATCCCCAGAGCCTTACTGCTGGCTCTGTCCCTTTCTCAAAGGCTATGATTCTAGTTGTGTAGTTCCAGTGAATAGAAATTGGGCAAAATAGTCTCTTTTTTGGTTTGTTTTGTTTTGGGGCCACACCTAGCTGTGCTCAGGGATCACTCTAGGGGGCTTGAGGGAACCATATGAATGCTGGAGATAGATCCTGGATTGGCCGAATGCAAGGCAAGTGCCCCCTAACCAATGTACTATCTCTCCACCCCTCCCCCCCACTCTTACCTCTTGAGTTCTGAAGTTGGCACCCAGTCCTTAGAATCAGGAAAACAAAACTTGGGAATAACTTTGAGTCTCTCTTCAGTGTCTTTGGATTGCTTAAAGCCATGATCTCCCTGAAGAGAGAACGTCAGTGATTAGTCAGACTCTATGTAATTAGAAAATAGCAACTGAAAACTCAGCATGGTATCAGGAAAAGGTTCCCTGATCAGTTTCAGCCTGATGCCATTCTGTTCAATGGAACAGGGAAGTCAAGACTAGTGATTACACCTAAGTACGGTGTTACAGAGAACAGAGAAGCCTACAGTCACCTAGAAAGGCCCTTGTGAGATCCCATAACTGGGTGCAAGAGATAACTGAAAACCATTCTTGGGGGTAAGGGCCGCCCAACTGGTGCTTAGGAGGCCCAGGGTCCCTCCGTGTGAGTCTCAGTCAAACAGGCTGGCAAGTCAAGGTAAGGGCATATGGGGTAGTGCTGCTCAGGCCCAATGTTCCAGAACCTGGACCACTCTGAAGGTGCTGAGGGCTCTTCAGGGCCACCCCTGGCCACTCCTGGAGATGCTCTGGGGACCGTGTGGTGCCAAGGACCAAACTGGAGTCAGATGCATGCAAAAAAAGTCCCTTAAGCCTTGTACAATATAGTTCCACTCCCTGAAAAGTTTCTTATTGATAGTTCTTGATAATTAGAAATTTATTTATTAATTTTTGGGGCCATACCCCATGGTGCTCAGCGATCACTTATGGCAGTGCTCAGGGGACCATATGTAGTGTAAGGGATTGAACCCAGGTCAGTCATGTCCAAGGCAGATGCCCTACTCACTCTACTATCACTTTAAGCCCAGGAGAGTTACAAATTTAATGCAAGATTATTTTTATGAATCATAAATGTTTTATAATGTACTGAACAGCACAAACCTGACCAGTTTGAGACATCCTCTGGTCAATAATCTTAAGTCTTTTAAAGATTAAAAAAAAAACACTTGAATGTAACTTAGAAAATTTACAATTTTAGAGCCCACTCTATATTATCATCTCTCTTACCATATAATCTCAGCTCCCTAACTTTACAACTTCCTGTAAAATTTTAGCATGGAAGACCCTTTAATGTGAGTGTGATATTGTACTTTAAGAGAGAATCTGGTGGGGCTGGCAGGATAGCACAGAGGGTAGGGCATTTGCCTTGCATGCAGCCAACCTGGGCTCAGTCCCTCAGCGCCATTTGGAGTAATTCCTGAGTGCAGAACCAGGAGTAACCCCTGACTATCACTGAGTATGACCCCCAAAACAACAACAACGACACAAAACAAAAAGAGAATCAGGCTTGCTCTCCAAGCCCCTGTTCTCCCCAGAACACATGTGTCACTGGCTCATCTATTTCTTTTCTTGTTTTCTCTTGACCATGTACTTCTCCCTCTTTAACTCCTCACATCTTTCTATTATTCAATAAAAACTTTCTTGCTTCACCAAAAACAAAGAAAGATAATCTAAAACAAATCATAGTTATTCTGGGCTTCCTGTATTAATTTCTTTAAAAAAAAGGGAAAGCATTATAACAGAATGTCATTTGTATGACATTCTATTATATTCATTCACAATTTTCCAACAACAGTCAAGAAGATCTTGGTCAGAGATTAACTTAATTAATTTATGAGTGCCTACCACACAGAGATGCAGTTTCTTTTTCAATTTGTTTTGTTCTGTTTTGGTAACACCCTGTGTTGCTCCTGGCCCTGCACTCAGGAATCCCTCCTGGTGAGCTCAGGGGACCATATGGGATTCCGGGGATCAAACCTGGATCAGCCATATGCAAGCTGGTGCCCTACCTGCTGTACTACTGCTCAGGCCCCAAAAGTCAATGAAATGTTTAAATATATATATATATATATATATACACACACATATATATATTATGATACTAACACCCTAGTATGAGACAGTAGAAACAAAGGCCAGGAGGACTGGTCCATGAATGATGAATGGAAGTTTGCCACAAGTGGGGAGAAGGAGAGGACAGTTAGGATAGAGAAGGGACCACTGTGACAATGATAGTTGGAAACGATCACTCCAGACAAGAACTGAGTACAGAAAGGAGGTAAAGGGATATACTTGATAACCTTCCAGCACCTGTATTACAAACTACAGTGCCTAAAAGGAGGGGGGACAGAGAGAGCAAGAGACAGAGAGAGAGAGAAATTGGGGACACTGGTGATGGGAAATGTACTCTGGTGAAGGGATGGGTGTGGAACATTGTATGATTGAAACCCAATCATGAACAACTTTGTAACTGAGTATCTCTTGGTGATTCAATTAAAATAATATTTTTAAATCCCTTCCCTCATTGTTGCAATGAGTGGGAAGTCACACACACACACGGTTGTGGTGCTCTGAGGACACACTTGGTGCATGTGGTGCTAGGGCAGACTGGAGCCTTCACACTCCCCAGGCTGAGCAGACTCGCCACCGAGCCATGCGGGGTGGGGCTGCACTAAGTTCTATGGTAATGTATTACAAAACAGTGGTCTGACTCTGTTCTCAGGCTATATTGAGGAATTTTGTTAAAGTAATTATCTTGCTGAAGAGGCAGCACAGCAGGCAGGGCCAGAACATGGGTGATACTAGTTCAAACCCCAGCACCTCATAGAGTCCTCTATGCCCTGCCCATGATGGTCCCTGAGCACAGAGGTAGGAGCCCTGGGCACAGCTGGGTGTGGTCTTTAAAAAAAAGAGAGAAAGCAATTTTGTGTACTTGTTGATGTGCTTATGATATAGGGATGAGAGAGGATTTTCTTAAATATGTGAACCCATCCCAGAAATGTCTCCCAAAATTGAAGTGTCACACTGGTTTTTCAGTGAAGTACAGAACTCAGGATGATAAACTGAAAGTTCTTATGTGGCAGAAGCAATACAGGAGAGAAGCAATCGAAACAGAAAGTTGGAAAGTGAATATCCCTTATTTATTTATTATTTATTTGAAGTAAAACAGATTTTATTTGAAGGTTCTCTTAAATTTTATTTTATTTTGCTTTTTGGGTCACACACACAGTGATACTCAGGGGTTACTCCTGACTCTGCACTCAGGAATCACTCCTGTCTCTCCAGCAAGATAATTATTTTAATCATATGGGATGCTAGGGACTGAACCTGGGCTGGCTGCATTCAAGGCAAATGCCTTCCCCACTGGGTTACCACTCCAGACCCTATTTGGAGGTTTTTGAAGGGGAAGGAGGGAGATAAAGTGAGTGAGAGTAAAGCAGTTGAGAGAGAACCCAGGCTTCTCTAAGGGTGGAGAGAGCCCCACCCCCCACACCCCAGCATTAGATAGGAATACACATCTCAAGAAGGAAGATGCAGGTGACACATACGCTCAGACACCACATGTGCTTGGTGTGAGCATCACAGGATGTGACCAAAACCCTAAATATATGTGTGTGTGTGTTAACATAAAATAAGAACAGGAACTGCATTACTCATTGAATACCTATTATCTCATCAAGTTCTCACTAGACATGTTGACATGATATAGTACTTACTGTATATGCCAGAAACTATTCTAAATACCTTGTGAAAATGAACTCACATAATTCTCACTACAGCATAATGAAAGACAATATTATGACCATGTCCAATTTACAAATGACAACACCAAGACAAAGAGTGGTTAAGTCAAGTCTCGAAGCCACAGAGCAAAAGGCACATGTAGAGAGCTGGTTCAGTCTTTGCTCTTAAAGTGGCCCCTGTTACTTCCCTCATTAGGGATGTGAAAATGAAGAATCTGTAAATTATTAAGAGTCTCTTGTAAATGGGAATGCAAAAATCACCCCAATTTGGATAAAAATGCTTTTCTTTCCCTCAGCTGCAGTTTATGCCTGACATATGGTATCAGTCTTCTGGCTGTCCTCACCAGGGCCCCTTGGAGGGGAGCGGGTTGAGCTTTCCTCCCCACCCTGACTAGGGCTCCGGCAGCCGAAGACCTCCAGACCCACCCACCACAATGCTGAGACCACTCTCTGCACACATGAAGGTACCAGCAGAGGAACAAAGGCAAGCGGGTCCCGGAGCTGAGATCTCCAAGCCTACTCGGATCGGGGCTGAACATCCTCCACCCAAATCCTCCAAATTCCAGTAGGTGGGGGTCACACCCACCAACTGGCCCCCTGGCGCCGTGTAATCCCATCAACGGACAAGACTCAGAGACTATAAAACCCAGCTCCTGGAACCACACGGCCACATTTGCGACCGTGCAACATCTTATTATGACATCTTATTATCTCATTCCGACTTCGGACAAACTGGCAGGCTACCGAATGTAACCTGCCCACATGGCAGAGTCTGGCAAACTCCCCGTGGCGTACCCAATATGCCAAATACCAGTAATAATAATGGGTCTCATTCTCCTAAAGAGCCTTAATATAGCACTTTCTTAAAAATCTCAGGTCTAGGATGAAGGAGACGTTACTGGGGCCTGCTCGAGGCAATCGACGAATATGGTATCATCAGAGTCAGAGTCACTTAGATCCTACAAGAAGTACAGCGCTAGTCGCCTGTGATGCAGTCAACGAGAAGAAGGGCAGAGACACACTAGTCAAAGCCGACTGTGAGCCAATAAGCAAATTTACGGCGAACGTCTGAATGCCCCTTGCCCTCCCTGTACGTCGGAACAAGAAGAAAAGCCCCTGGGAACAGTCCTGAGTGCCCCTGGCCCTCCTGCACATTTTCCCCTTGCACCTACCTTGCTAGGGAACTGCTGTATGACCTGGGGATTGTAGCTGGTGTCTGGTGGCTTCTTCTGCAGAGACACCACCACAAATAGCTCAAACAGTTGTTGCTCCTGTAACTCAATGAGGTCCCGCTCTAAGGTCTGGTAGTGAGGGTTCCTCTTGGAAGGCTGCTGCAGCTGTGCCAAGCGCTTATGGCGATCTGTAAGAATGTCAAACACCGCATTTTGTCGTTACTGCAATTTATAGGTATTCATATCTACAGATATATTTTATAACATAATAATTTTGTTGTTTTATGCTTATGGTGATTCTATACCAGAGTTGTAGGGTTCTGCCATGACCTCAAGGTCACTATCTCGCACTTCCACCAGCACCTGAGATCAGATTCCCCAGGGTGCTTGCCTTGCACACAGCCGACCTAGTTTTGATCCCTGGCATCCCGTATGGTCCCCTGAGCACCACCAGGAGGAGTTCCCAAATGCATTGTCAGGTGTGCCCCCCCCCCAAAAAAAAAACCTGATACTGTGGGTAAGAATATTAACACTAAAAAAAAATACATCTAGGAGTTGTCCTTTAGAATTATCTACTACAGGGGCCAGAGCGATAGCACAGCGGGTAGGGCGTTTGCCTTGCACTCAGCCGACCCGGGTTCGATCCCTGGTATCCCATATGGTCCCCCAAGCACTGCCAGGAGTAATTCCTGAATGCAATGCCAGACTAACCCCTGAGCATTGCTGGGTGTGACCCAAAAAGCAAAAAAAAAAAAAAAAAAAAAAAACCAACAACAACAACAAAAAAGAATTATCTACTACATTTACTGCTCTAGCCAAGTTTTACTTTTACGTAAGAGCTTACTTAAAGTCAAAAGAAGTTTGGTCCCGATCCTTCGGGTATCAGCAGTGCATGAGTCATCTAAACATCCAGGTTGAAACTGGCGTCGATCAAAGTTTCACCTTCGGTTAGGTCCCAAAACCAAGATCTGAAGCAGCTCAACCCGGTGGAGGGAGCACCTGACTAATAATCATAAGACTGGAGCGTCTCATTTGGGAGTGCTCTGTATACAGCTTTAATAATTTAAATTTCCAGCATTTTCCATGTTTCACTATGTCAGTCGGACAGGAACGAATTAATTTGTTCTGGAAATTTATCAGATGAAGGTGTGGTGGTGCTCAGGGTGAGTCCTGGCTCTGCACTCAGGGGTCCCTCCTGGAGGGGCTTGAGGGCTCACTCAGGATGCCGGGGATGGAACCTGTGTTGGCCACAAGTAAGATAAATGCCCTTCATGCTAGACTATCTCTCTGGAACCCCTTCTCTATTTTGGGGGGATGGGGAAGGAGTCACACCTACCTGTGCTCGGAGATCACTCCAGGAAGTGGTTGGGGGACCATATGCAATGCCAGAGTTGAACTAAGGTCAGCTGTATGCAAGGCAAATACCTTAACTCCTGTCCTATGTGTCTCTAAATTTTTTTGTTGTGTGTGGAGGTAACACCCGGTGATGCTCATGGGTTTCTCCTGACTCTGCACTCAGGATCACTCCTGGCGGTGCCTAAAGGACCATATAGGATGCCAGGGACCGACCCGGTTGGCCTTGTGCAAGGCAAACACCCTACCCGCTGTACTATCTCTCTGGCCCTCCAGTTGCTGTGTTCTATCCAAAGTAAACGACACAATGATTTAGAATATAAATGCTTATAAGAAACAGATAAATGTTTCCAGTCCAATGTTAAGAGCTCTCAAAATGAAATAATACAAACAAATGACTATGAGAAATAAGATGTTTAAAATTTAGTATTTGTCTCTGAGGATGATTCATGTGCTTTTTGGCTGCTGGGAAACTAGTGCACATATGTTTGAACTTGCAACTTTGCCACTCCCTTTCGAACATTGCATTTTAAGAGCGAGACTGGTTTGCCTGCTCTGTCACCAGAGATTTTTAAGGCTGTCAAACATTTGACAGTGTTTTGTTTAGTTTCTCAGATCTCAACAGGTTCTAATAATCAGCAACAAAATGAAACTTCACGAAGAGAGAAAAAAATGCTTAAAGCAAAAGGTGGGTGCTGCCCCACCTATCCCATAACACCTGAACGGGAGGAGCCACACTGACTCACTCACTCTTTGGCAGATACTCGGCATCACTTTCGTTCCCACTGGTTTCACCTGAAAAGAAAGAATGAGTTTTCATTTGTATTGTTCAGCCGTAGGAGGTCCAGAGGGTAAGAGCAATGATGCGACACTTCTGTGCGTGGGGGGTGCAGTGCAGCATGACTGGATGCTGAGTCTCAGGCACTCAGCTCACACCAAGTTCAAACGCAACAAAAGAGGAGACTTAACTATTGCATCCCCTTCCCAAGCTCTGTCTCCCTCAACTCCCCCTCTTGTCCCCGATTGTGGTAATTAAAAGTGGTGTGGATTTGGGTTTGTTTTGTTTTGGGTCCACATCTGGCTGTGCTTCGGGCTCCTGGCTCTCTGTTCAAGGATCATGCCTGGCAAGCTTGGGAAACCATGAGGTCCTGGAGGTCATGCCTGGGTCAGTCACATGCAAGGCAAGCGTCTTACCTGCCATACTATCACTCCAGCCCCAACACTGGTTTGTTTTGTTTTGTTTTTGTTAGAGCCCTTAGTTGGCTGTGCTCAGGGTTTACTCCTGGCTCCATGCTTCGGGATCAGAGATCACTGCTGCAGGCTTGGAAAATAATACAGGGTGCCAGGAATCGAACCTGGATCAGCTGTGTCTAAGGCAAGAGTCCTACCATCATTCTGCCCCAACAGTGGGTTTTTTTTTTCTTAAAGATGGGCCACGTCCAGTGGTGCTAAGGGGAAGGAAGATCAGGGTCTGTTCCCAGAACTACTCTGGCCACCATAATGTGGGGGGGCCACTGGGGCAGACACACAGTGTGGGCGGCCAAACTCTGCTAGGCCTATGCCTATCTTCCCAGCCCTGGAGTCAGCTCAGACTGGGGTTTTTCTGTGTTATTTTTGTTTTGGGGCCACATCTGGCAATGTTGAGGGGTTTCTCCTGGCTCTGCACTTAGGAATCATTCCTGGCAAGCTTGGAGGACCATACGGAATGCCAGGGACCAAGACCAGATCAGCTGCATGCAAGACAAAAGCCCTGTACCACCATCTCTCTGGCCCCAAATTGTAGCACGGTAGCACTGTTGTCCCGTGGATCATCGATTTGCTTGAGTGGGCACCAGTAACATCTCCATTGTGAGACTTGTTCTTACTGTTTTTGTCATACCGAATATGCCACAGGGAGCTTGCCAGGCTCTGCTGTGCGGGTGGGATACTCTTGGTAGTTTGCCGGGCTCTCCGAGAGGGACAAAGGAATCAAACCCAGGTTGGCTGTGTGCAAGGCAAACGCCCAACCCACTGTGCTATCCCTCAAACTAAAGCACCAAGATTTGCAGCTTCATGATATATTACAAATTAATTTTAATATATATTACAAACACCCTACCTGCGGTACTATCTCTCTGGCCCCTCAGACTTGTTTTTAAAAATTTACTTCTGAAGATAGAGATTGTATCAACAATCTTCTCAGACCACAATGCGCTGAAATTAGAAGTAAATCACACACAAAAACAGAAAACTAAATCAAACATCTGGAAATTAAACAGTGCGCTATTAAACAACGAATGGCTTAGAAAGGAAATCAAAGAGGAAATCAAAAAATTCCTAGAAACGAATGAAAATGAAGACACGAGTTACCAAAACTTATGGGACACAGCAAAAGCTGTCTTAAGAGGAAAGTTTATAGCTCTACAAGCATTCCTCAGAAAGGAAGAGCGAGCCCACATAAATAAACTAACCTCACAGCTTAAGAGCTTGGAGAAGGACCAACAAAAGGAGCACAACCCAAACAGGAGGAAGGAAATAATAAAACTCAGAGCAGAGATTAACGAGATGGAAACCCAAAAAACAATCCGAAAGATCAATGAAACCAAAAGCTGGTTCTTCGAGAAAATTAACAAGATCGATAAGCCTCTAGCAAAACTCACAAAGAAGGGGAGAGAGAAAACCCTAATAAACTGAATCAGAAATGAAAAGGGGGTCATCACAACAGAAACTACAGAAATTCAAAGGATCCTCAGGGAGTACTTTGAGAAGCTTTACACCACGGAACATCAAAACCTCGAGGAAATGGACAAATTCCTAGACTCCTACAGACTCCCAAGGCTGAACCCAGAAGACCTGGAATACCTGAACAGACCTATCACCACCAAGGAAATTGAAATGGTAATAAAAAGTCTCCCCAGGCACAAAATCCCTGGCCCAGATGGATTCACTAGTGAATTCTTCCAAATCTTTAAAGAAGACTTACTCCCAATCCTCTTTAAGCTTTTCCACGAAATTGAAATATCAAAAACACTTTCAAAGAGTTTCTACGAAGCGAATATCACACTGATACCAAAAGCAGACAGAGATACCACAAAGAAAGAGAATTACAGGCCGATCGATATCCCTGATGAACACAGATGCAAAGATCCTCAACAAACTACTAGCAAATAGAATCCAACTACTCATCAAAAAGATCATACACCATGACCAAGTAGGATTCATCCCAGGGATGCAAGGATGGTTCAACATTCGGAAATCAATCAACATAATCCATCATATCAACAAAAGAAAAGATAAAAAGTATATTATCATATCAATAGATGCAAAGAAAGCATTTGACAAGATCCAGCACCCCTTTATGATGAAAACCCTAGCCAAAATGGGTATAGAGGGGACTTTCCTCAACATAGTTAAAGCCATCTACCACAAGCCTACAGCAAGCATCATCCTCAAAGGGGAAAAACTAAGAGCCTTCCCTCTAAGATCAGGGACAAGACAAGGATGCCCACTCTCTCCACTGCTGTTCAATATAGTACTGGAAGTACTTGCAATAGCGATTAGGCAAGAAAAATATATTACGGGCATTCAGGTAGGAAAGGAAGAAATCAAGCTCTCACTATTCGCAGAAGATATGATACTATACTTAGAGAACCCAACAACCTCCAGCAAAAAACTCTTAGAAACAATAGACTTGTATAGTAAAGTTGCAGGCTATAAAATCAATACCCAAAAGTCCATGGCTTTCCTATACGCAAACAGTGAGAGAGAGGAAAGCTACATGAAAAAAACAATCCCGTTGACAATTGTGCCCCAGAAAATCAAGTACCTAGGAATCAGCTTAACTAAGGAAGTAAAGGACCTGTACAAAGAAAACTACAAAACAGTACTTCAGGAAATAAAAGAGGACATGAGGAAATGGAAAGATATCCCCTGCTCATGGGTCGGGAGACTTAACATTGTCAAAATGGCAATACTACCGAAAGCATTGTATAAATTCAATGCAATTCCTATAAAGATACCCATGACATTCTTCAAAGAAATGGAGCAAACACTCCTGAAATTTATATGGAACAATAAGACCCCGTGAATAGCTAAAGCAATTCTTGGGAAAAAGAAAATGGGACGAATCAACCTCCCTAACTTCAAACTCTACTACAAAGCAGTAATAATTAAAACAGCATGGTACTGGAACAAAGGCAGAACTGCAGACCAATGGAACAGGGTTGAATACACTGACATCTCCCCTCAATCATATGATCATCTAATCGTTGATAAAGGTGCAAGAAATGTGAAGTGGAGTAAGGAAAGCCTCTTTAACAAATTGTGCTGGCATCACTGGATGGCTACATGCAAAAAAATGGGCTCAGAACTCTGCCTAACACCATGTACAAAAGTAAGATCAAAATGGATTAAAGACCTCAACATCAGACCAGACACCATAAGGTACACTGAAGCCAAAGTTGGCAAAACCCTTCATGACATTGAGGCTAATGGTATTTTCTTTTCTTTTTTTTTTTATTTATTTTTTATTAGTGAAACACCATGAGGTACAGTTGTAGATTTACAAATTTTTGTGCTTGGATTTCGGTCATACCATGATTAAATACCCATCCCTCCACCAGTGCCCATTTTCCACCACCAAGGATAATATCCCTCCCCCCCATCACCCCCATCCCCCCCTGCCACTGTGGCAGGGCATTCCCTTTTGTTTTCTCTCTCCTTTTGGGTGTTGTGATCAGCAAAAGAGGCATTGAGTGGCAAACATGTTCAGTCCAGTCTACTTTCAACCTCCATCTCCCCTCCTGGGAGGATCCTCCAAACACCCTCCATTTGGTGCTCCCTTCTCTATCTGAACTGTCCTTTCCCCTAGAATACCCGGCTGGCCTCTAAGCTATGGAGTAATCCTCCTGGTGTTGATCTCAGCTATTCTTGGGTATTAATCTCATATTTTGTTACTTTATATTCCCCAGATGAATGCAATCTTTCTATGTCTATCCCTCTCTTTCTGACTCATTTCGCTTAGCATGATACTTTCCATATTGTACCACTTGTATGTAAATTTCATGACTTCATCTTTTCTAAGAGCTACATAGTACTCCATTGTGTAGATGTACCAATGTTTCTTTAACCAGTCATCTGTTCTTGGGCACTCAGGTTTCTTCCAGTTTCTGGCTACTGTAAAGAGTGCTGCAATGAACAAACAAGTGCAGATGTCACTTCGACTACATATTTTTGCCTCTTTGGGATATATTCCCAGGAGTGGTATCGCTGTGTCAAATGGGAGCTCAATTTCTAATTTTTTGAGGAACGTCCATACTGTTTTCCAAAAGGGCTGAACCAGTTGGCATTCCCACCAACAGTGAAGGAGTGTCCCTTTCTCGCCACATCCGCGCCAGCATTGGTTGCTTTTGTTCTTTTGAATGTGGGCCAGTCTCTGAGGTGTGAGATGGTATCTCATTGTGGTTTTGATCTGCATCTCCCTGATGATTAATGATGTAGAGCATTTTCTCATGTGCTTTTTTGCCATTCGGATTTCCTCTTTGTGAAAGTTTCTGTTCATTTCCTTGCCCCATTTTTTGATGGGGTTGGATGTTTTCTTCTTGTGGAGTTCAATCAGTATTTTGTATATCCTTGATATCAACACCTTGTCAGATGTGTATTCGGCGAATATCCTTTCCCATTCTGCAGACTGTCTTTGTATTTTGGTCACTGTTTCTTTGGAGGTGCAGAAGCTTCTTAGTTTAAGATAGTCCCATTTATCTATCTCTGTTTTCACTTGCTCGGCCAGTGGCGTGGCATCTTTGAAAATACCAGAGGCTAAACTCTGAATTGAGGACAACAGGAAAATCAGAGGGGAGGAGAGATTACCAAGTAAGTCCATGAAGCAGCTTTCAGCTGAGGGACACGAAGCATCCTCCAGGGCCAAGGGACTTTCCTTTCCTCTGAAATCTTACAATTTTATGACTGCTTTGAACTGCCAATTTCCCCCATATTTGAAGTATATGGAAGGTAAGAGGAATGCATGAGGCCAGGTTCAATCTCAGTTACCACATGGAGCCTGTGCCCTGGAGCTACCACTGAGTAGTGCTGGGAGTGGCCCCAAACCAAAAGAGCAAACAAACACCCACTCTACCCCTAAAAAGCACAAACCACTTAGATGCTTAGATAAGAATATCTTAGTACATAAAATAATTATATGTGCATAAAATTTTCAGATAATAGGAGAAAATTTCAGAAACTTTGGCTTTTCACTTTTCATTTTATCTTAATCTATATTGTAACTTCTGTCTGTGCTCAATTTAACTTTATAAGACATAATAGATATTTCAACTGCAGGGGCTGGAGCGATAGCACAGCAGGTAAGGCGTTTGCCTTGCATGTGATCAACCCGGGTTCGATTCCCAGCATCCTATATGGTCCCCTAAGCACCTCAAGGTGTAATTCCTGAGTGCATGAGCCCGGAGTAACCCCTGTGCAACGCAGGGTTTCACCCAAAAAGCAAAGAGAGAGAGAGAGAGAGAGAGAGAGAGAGAGAGAGAGAGAGAGAGAGAATATTAGAGCTGCAGAGATAGTGCATGTGGCAGACACCCAGGTTTAATCCTTGGTATCCCACATGGTCTCCTGAGCACCGTTGTGAATAATTTGAGTGCAAAGCCAGAAACATCTCCTGAGCATTGCCAGGTATACCCCCACCACCCCCAGTAGCCCCCTCCCCCCCAAAAAAGAGAAAATAAGAGAATAATTAAAAAGCCAAAGGGACAAAGCAATGAGACTGAAAGTAACTGCTGACAAAAGAAAAGAAGACTATGACATTATGTTCTGATTTAAATCTACATCTTTTTCCTTCATTAAATTCCAGTGAAATCCCAGTGCTGGCATACATTAAACATGAGAAAAAGTATGTGAAGATAATATAACTATATTCAACAGACGGTGACTATTATAATAACAATAAGCACAAGTATTTTGCAGAAGATTGTGACATGTTTTAGTAACTGCTTTAGAAAAATGAAAACTCACATAAGTAATCAACTGGGGGCTGAGGAGAAAGTGCAGCAGGTAAGTGCCTCACATGTGGCCCACCCAGGTTTGACCCCAACATCCCTGAGCCCACCAGGAGTGATTTCTGAGTGTGGAGTCAGAAGTAAGCCCTGAGCACTGCCAGGTGTGCCCCCCCCAAAAAAAACATAAGGTGACCAGTTATTTTTGGAGCACTTTTTAAAGAAAACCTATTGGTATATTAAAGTTTCTAATTTTTTTTAGGGTCCCCGTGAGGAAGGCTGGTGAGGGAACAGAGCCTCTTAGATGAGCTCTGCCACTTGAGCTCTCTTCCAGATGGTTTTGATTATCACAGAGTAAGATGAAAGAGTCCTTCAGCTTCAGTAAGAGAAATATATTTTATTTTCTTTTTTCTTTTTTGGCCACACACAGCTGTGCTCTGGGCTTGCTCCTGGCTCTGTGCTCAGGGATCACTCCTGGCCATGCTTGGGGAACCATATGGGGTACAAGGGATTGAACTTGGGTCAGTCATGTGCAAGGTAAACACCTTACCTTTTTTTTAAATTTATTTTTTTATTAAAAATTTTTTTAATAGTGAGACATCATGAGGTACAGTTGCAGACTTACACATTTTTATACTTGGGTTTCAATTATATAATGATCAAATACCCATCCCTCCACCAGTGCCCATCCTCCACCAGTGCCCATTTCCCACCACCACGGATCCCAGTATCCCTCCCACCTCCCATCCCCCCATTCCACCCCCCCATCCCACCCTGCCGCTGTGGCAGGGCATTCCCTTTTGTTCTCTCTCTCTAATTGGGTGTTGTGGTTTGCAAAAGAGGCAATGGGTGACAATCATGTTTAGTCTATAGTCTACTTTCCACATGTTTCTCCCATCCTGGGAGGATCCTCCCAACACCTTTATTTGGTGTTCCCTTCTCTAGCTGAGCTCCCTTTTCCCCTAGTATGTGTGGTTGGCCTCCAAGCCATGGAGTAAAATTCCTGGTACTAATCTCGGCCATTCTTGGGTGTTAGTCTCCTATTTTGTTACTTTATGTTCCCCAGATGCAATCTTTCTATGTCTATCCCTTTCTTTCTGACTCATTTCGCTTAACATGATACTTTCCATGTAGTACCATTTGTATGTAAATTTCATGACTTCGTCTTTTCTAACAGCTACATAGTACTCCATTGTGTAAATGTACCAATATTTCTTTAACCAGTCATCTGTTCTCGGGCACTCAGGTTTTTCCCAGATTCTGGCTATTGTCAAGAGTGCTGCAATGAACAAACAAGTGTAGATGTCACTTCAACTATACTTTTTTGCCTCTCTGGGATATATTCCCAGGAGTGGTATTGCTGGATCAAATGGGAGTTCAATTTCTAATTTTTTGAGAATCGTCCATACTATTTTCCAAAAGGGCTGAACCAGTCGGCATTCCCACCAACAGTGAAGGAGTGTCCCTTTCTCACGACATCTGCGCCAGCACCAGTTGCTTTTGTTCTTGTGGATATGGGCCAGTCTCTGTGGTGTGAAATGATATCTCATTGTGGTTTTGATCTGCATCTCCCTGATGATTAATGCAAACACCTTACCTTTATACTATCTCTCTGGCCCAGAGTTTCAAAGAGCAATTATTATAACATAAAATAGATTTTCCAGGGAAATTAAGAAATTTCTGTCTGTGGAAGTCTGCAAAATACAAAAGTCTTCTTGTGCATGACCCAACTTGGCTGCTGTTTCCAGCCTATGAAAACTGTTATATTCTGCATACTATGCCAAACAACAAAGTGTAAGATCTTGCATAATTTTTGAAGAAAATTCTGACAATTCCCTGTGGATGTTGAAAGTTTCTTAGTTTTAGAACTCTTGACACTATAAATTTTGTCTAGGCATCAGAAGTATCTATTGAACGTTTTACCTAAGCGCAGGGCTGAAGTGACAGAACAGTGGGTAGGTTGTTTGCCTTGCACATGGCTGACCCGGGTTCGATTCCTCCATCCCTCTCAGAGAGCCCGGCAAGCTACTGAGAGTATCCCGCCTGCACAGCAGAGCCTGGCAAGCTCCCCGTGGCGTATTCTATATGCCAAAAACAGTAACAACAAGTCTCACAATGGAGACGTTACTGGTGCCTGCTCGAGCAAATTGATGAACAACAGGAGGACAGTGCTATAGTGCTGCCTAAGTGCAAGTTGAGCATCGAATACCTTCAGTCTACATATATAATTGTATTTTCATTTCTTGGAATTGGGGATGTAGCTCAGTAGTAGAGCACTTGTCCTACATGTGTAAGGTTCTGGGTTCAATCCTCAGCACCACAAAGAAAATAATTTTTGAGAAGATTCTCCACTGAACTTATACTAATCACAAGAAATCAAAGTAGGACTATAAAATGGACACAAACTTCCTATCAAAATTAGCCTCAGGTGTTTATTATTTATAATTGATTTTTTCCATAGTTATTACTTGGCATGGTAGCAAAAGGTAAAGAATAAGGAATAGCCATGAGCCAGATAGTCCAGCAGAGAAGGCACTTGTCTTGCACACGACTGACCCAGGTTGGATTCCTGGCATCTCATATGGTCCCCTGAGCACTACCAGCAGTAAACCCTGAGCATCATGGTCATGACCTAAATCCCCACGCCCTCCCCCAAAAAGTAGTCATTATTCTAAAAGATTAGTTGCTGTTTAGGTGGAATGGTCAGAAAAGAAAATTTTAAATAAAAAGACATTACACACTGTTATACAGTGATTCTGCCCTCATACACTGATAGCCACAGATGAGCAGAACAACTCTTACCTTTTGAAGGTGGTACTTCTTTTCCATTGAAAGGTTGTAACTTTACCCTTTTCTTTCCTCTTTTAGACTCAAATATGTCTTCTATTTTCAATACAAACTGAAAAAAGACCAGAAAAACACAAACTGAAACTCCAGAATTTGAGATTGGAGCAACAGGACAGGGGACGAGAGGCTTGCACTGCACCCTGCTGACCCCCATTCGAATTCCAGCACCACATATGGCCCCCCGACCAGAGTTAGTCTGAGCACAGAGCCTGGGATAGGCCTAGAAGCACCTCCAGGTGTGATCCTACCCATGCAAAAAATTTTATGGGAGTCCACACCTGGGCATTCTCGGGGGATAACTAGTGGCTCTGTGCTCAAGGACCACTTGATGGTGCTCAGAGAACTATATGGGATAACAGGGATTGTACCCAGGGGGGCTGCATACATGATGGGCTCCCTCCCCACTGTACTATCTCTCCAGCCCCAAACAAAAAATTTTTTTGGTCGCAGCACACCCAGTGATGCTCAGGGCTTACTACTGGCTCTAAGCTCAGGGATCATGCCTGCAAACTTAAGGGACCATATATACTGCCACAGATTGAACCCAGGTCGAACGTGTGCAAGACAAATGTTCTACCAGCTGTACTATCACTCCAACCCCCCCCCAAAAATTAAAAGCACTCATATTTGCAGCTTCATGATAGATTACAGATTAATTTTAACATATGATTAATTTTATTAATTATTCATTTTAACATAAAGATTAATTATATTTAAAAGAAATATCACATTTTCCCATTTTAAATAGCACAGCGGTAGGGCGTTCGCCTTACAAGCGGCCAACATGGCCGACCCGAGTTCGATTCCTCCGCCCCTCTCGGAGAGCCCGGCAAGCTACCGAGAGTATTCGATATGCCAAACACAGTAACAACAAAGTCTCCAATGGAGACGTTACTGGGCCCGCTCGAGCAAATCGACCTTTTAAATCTAAAATGATCTTTAATTTGATGATATTCTGCTCTAATTCAAAGTCCAGGTAACACTGGTGAAAGGAGGAGGAAAGATCACCTCCTCTCCAAAATTGGTCAGCACAGGTTTTCTTAGAGACATTACTGTCTTTCTGTGGTACAGCATGTGGGAAATGTGGGTACAGTGCTCCAAAGCGTATCCATAGCCAAGTCTTTATAACTGACTCAAGTTTTTGCTTGCCCAGATCAGGAAGTGAAACACTCATTCATTAGGAAGGAGAATGAGGTCCAATTGTTACTGTTCCCAGGTTGGAAGGACATGGGGAAATCACTGTAGTTTGGATCACATATTTATATCAGGGTAATATTTACAGTCTACAGTTACACCCACCATCACCACCCAAGTGCCCACGAGCCTACACCAATGTCTCTATGTCACTTCCAGTCCACCTCTTGTTTGAGGGGGTGGGGGGCATCAGGGAGGTTGGGTCGATGCTAGCAGTGCTCAGGGCTAATTCCTGACTTTGTGCTCAGGGATCACTTCTGGCAGGGCACAGGGGACCATATATGGTGCTGGGGGTCAAACATGGGATGGGCATGTGTGAGGCAAGTGCCTGCCCCACTCTACTATCTCTCCAGCCCCTATTCTTAAGTTTTTTAATTAAGTAACATTGGTTTACAAGACAGTGTATGTTTTAGGGGTGAAACTTCGCAACTCTTTAAAATGTAGATGCCCTCTGGAATGATTGTAAGTGGGTAGGGTGTTTGCCTTGCATGTTGCAGTTTTAATCCCTGGCATCCTAATGGTCCCCTGAGCACTACCACCAGGAGTAATTCTTGACTGCAAAGCCAGGAATAACGCCTGAGCATTGCCTAGTCTGATCCAAAAAGCCAAAACTAAATAATTAAATAAAATGTAAGTGCCCTACCCAAATACCAGTATCTCTCCACCACAGTCAATAGACCCCACCATCTGTTAAAATATCTTCTCCCACCTCGTTTGCTAATCTCAGTTCTATAGTAAATTCCAGGGTTTGTTTTTGTTTGAACTACCATTTTTTCAAAGAGGTACTTGATTACTTTTCCATGCATATTTTCCTTTTTTATTTAAAGCCAACCTTTTAAATGATCCTTATTTAACAATTTTACTGTCCCCAGTTAAAACTGTTACGAACATTATATAAAATAATAATCAGAGCTGCTTGAGAAAAATGCTCTTGCTTTTCACTTTTGTCCTCATTTCTCTAGCAATCCTGGCAACACACAGGCATTGAATCAATCCAGTGTAGGAAAAACAACATGTGAGAAGTATGTGCTTTCAATATGTAGAATATTCATAGACTTTTGGTTCAATTTTTCCTTTCTGCATTTTAGTAGCTGACTTTGTATGAAAAATGATAACTATTCTGAAATACTCCATAATAATTAAACAAATGAGCTGGACCAGGGATTTGCTCTAAGGGCTAGTTCATAGGCTCTGCATGAGGGAAGTCCAGGTTCAATCCCTGATGCCATATTGTCCCCCAGGAGTGAATCAGGAGTGAACCCTGAGCATGGAGTCCGGAGGAAACCTCAAGTATGGTCCCAAACCCCTACCTTCTCAAATAAATTAAAGAGAAATAAATAGGAGAACCCAGCATAGAAAGCTCTTGCTAGGGGCTCGAGTGAAGATATATGAGTAAACATATATTTTGGCTAGGTAATGACCAAAAATATCAACATTAACTTCATTTGAAAAATATACGCTAAAGTACAGTCAAGTATTCTAAGAAAAGGGAAAGTATCCATTCTAGAAAAATGGACTAAAGTAACAATATAGAAATTTTGGGTATCAGTCAGAAGAAGACTATCTGAAAGTACTAGGTAACTTTCAGGAAACACTAGAGAATATTTTTCCTAAAAAATGATGAAAACCATATTGCTGTGGTTGGCACAAATAATAGAAAACACTGGGATAGCCAGGTTCACAGAAAATCCCACACAGGTTTCCGAGGCAGGGAAGGAAGGGAAGGGCGGGGAAAGGCATATGGACTAGATCAGTGACTTTCAAAGCATGAAAGCAGCTTCCCTTCCAGGGATAGTAACAGTCATTAGAGGGGAAATAAGTGAAGCCTCTCTCCTCGTGGAATGTTGTTTTTGAAGATACTCCAAAGCCAAAATTTATATTAAAAATGGAATATCCCTTAATAGGATTGAATCCAAGGAGGGTCACGGCGGGGGGCGGGGGGAAGGGGGGAGGTGGGGGTAGAAACACTAAAAGCTGTTTCTACAGACCTGGCTGGCATTCAGAAAGCCCAGCCCAGCTCTTTCAGCCTCACTTCCCCAGAAACCCTGAGGGAGCGATCAGAAATGGAATAGTGGGGTCATGGCACATTATAATCACAGAAGGAACAAGTTTCAAATACCCAGGGAATCTGTAGTACCTAGAATACTGAGACACTAAGTCAAAAGCCCTGTGAATCAATGTGAGCCTTTACGAGCTCCACTGCTCAGTATGTGTGAATGCGTCCCCCACCCCCATCACCTCTCACCAGTCTTCTGGGTGTGGACTTCCCCCAGCAGACCCAGACCCTGCTGTTTCTGGGTACCTGGAGAACTGGTTTGTCATGCCACCAGCACAATTTTTCAGCATAGAGAGCTACCACACAATAAGGTAAAGGTAAAGGTAAAGGCCCTCCCGTTGATCGTTGATTTGCTCGAGCGGGCCCAGTAACGTCTCCATTGGAGACTTTGTTGTTACTGTGTCTGGCATATCGAATACTCTCGGTAGCTTGCCGGGCTCTCCGAGAGGGGCGGAGGAATCGAACTCGGGTCGGCCATGTTGGCCGCTTGTAAGGCGAACGCCTTACCCGCTGTGCTATCACTCACCACACAATGCCGAGCAATATTCTGATCTCTGATTTTTATTACTTAAAAACAAAAACAAATTACAGACTTAATTTATTTGAAATTCCTGCTTTAAATGGGTAAATTAGATGGCATGTGAATTAAGGTAAGGTAAGGTAAAGGCCCTCCCGTTGTTCATCGATTTGCTCGAGCAGGCCCAGTAACGTCTCCATTGGAGACTTTGTTGTTACTGTGTTTGGCATATCGGATACGTCACGGGGAGCTTGCCAGGCTTAAAAAATAGAGGCCATCTGGTGACCAAGAGCTTCCACAAGCAAGGTGGAATGTGGGTTCCAGGACTGAATCTCCAGCCCGCACAATGGCAGAGGACCTGGGCTCTCCTTCCCCAGATCCCCTCCCACCCAGCAGACTGACTGTCATGCCCATAATTTGCCTCTGGGCTCCATCTTAGCGCACTAACAGCCCTGGTCCAGAGACTCCCAATTGAATCCCCAAATGGATTAGTGCCATACAGAGATGTCTCTGGACCCCAACCATTTACAATCTAGAAATATACATTTACAATTGCGGCTGTGTAAGTTCTCATGATACTCAAAATGAGCACTGTCACTGTCACTGTCCTCCCGTTGTTCATTGATTTTCTCAAGCAGGCCCAGTAACGTCTCCATTGGAGACTTTTTTGTTACTGTGTTTGGCATATCGAATACATCATGGGTAACTTGCCAGGCTCTGCCGTGCGGGCAAGATACTCTCGGTAGCTTGCTGGGCTCTCCGAGAGGGGCGGAGGAATCGAACTCGGGTCGGCCATGTTGGAAGGCAAATGCCCTACCGCTGTGCTATCGCTCCAGCCCTCAAAATGAGAATGGAAAATAAATTATCTAGCGTCTGCCCCTGGCAGGTAGGCTTGAATTGTGGTAGGACATTTTGACCATAATGCTCGAAACATAATGCCCAAAATTAGAGAGAGAGAGTATTGGGGAAATTGTCTGCCATAGAGGCAGGACGAGGAGTGGGATGTGGGTGGTGGAAAGTGTGCACTGGTGGAGGGATGGGTATTCCATCATTGTATGGCTGAATCTCAAACATGAAAGCTTTGAGCGATAGCACAGCGGTAGGGTGTTCGCCTTACAAGCGGCCAACATGGCCGACCCGAGTTCGATTCCTCCGCCCCTCTCGGAGAGCCCGGCAAGCTACCGAGAGTATCTCGCCCCCACGGCAGAGCCTGGCAAGCTCCCCGTGACGTATTCGATATGTCAGACACAGTAACAACATGATGATACAATTTAAAAAAAAGTAATATGGAGTTCATGCCCAATTCAATCAGCTTAATCAACGGCTGAACAAATAGCAGTACTCCTACATTATTAAAAAAATAAAATTTGAGGCCACATCCAGCAATGTTCAATGGCCACCAGGGTCATACCTAGCTGTGCCGGGGATCAAACTCAGGACTTCACACTCACTAGACATGTGCTCTAAGAACTTCAGTTGTTTCCCCAGCCCCAGACCCTGATTTATATATATTCCCCACCACACACAGGGGAATAAACGGGTAAAGATTTTTTCCACTGAAGATGAGCTTAGTGCTTTTAATTTTTATTATTTATAATATTATGAATTAATACATTTAATTATTTAAATAATCCATTACTTATTTGGTTTTGGGGCCACACCCATCAATACACAGGGGGTTACTCCTGGCTCTGTACTCAGCAATTATTCCTGGCAGGGCTCAGGCGACCATATGAGATGCTGGGGAATTGAACCCATGTCAGTCATGTGCAAGGCAAGAGCTCTACCCAGCCGTACTATCTCTCTGGCCCCCTCAAAAAAACCAACCATAAAACCCCTCCAAAACTGTGTGTCCCTACCTCCACATATTAGAGAGGGGCAGAGGCAGGAACTAGAAGAACTGAAACAATTTGGAACAGTATGTCCTAAGAAAACAATCAGCAGCTATTAAACTAAGAAATAACTGTGGGCCAGAGAAATAATACAGGGTTAAAGTGCTTGCCTTACATGTGGCCCACTCTGGTATGATCCCTAGTTCTGATTATGGTCCCCTGAGAACTACTAGAATCACTCCTGAGCACATAGCCAGGAATAGCTCCAGACAAATGTGGCCCAATCCTTTTGCTCCACCTCTATAATTTAACAAGAAATACTAGTGACTTATGCTTACCGCTAAAATCAGGTACAAACATATGTATTAAGAGAACACCTGTAGTTAATTCTGATAGCATCAAGGGAAGATTTGTTGTTTAAATGATTTTTTCACTCTTCCCTATTAATTCTGAAAACATTTTGAATTACAAAGCTATACAAATTTAAGAACCTTTTCATGTAATTTCCTAAGTGTCTTTCCTAAAAGGAAATGTATCTGTCTACAATCCCAACTCCTTCATGTTTGTTCCAATGGGTATAGTACAGATCAGATATAGGCTTACTGATTTTTCTCCCTCAAAAGAAGTCATATATTTAGCTAATTGCTGATACTTTCAATTTCAAATAGCCAAATTTTTTTTCTTCCCCTCACTCACCCCCACGATAGAAATTTCTCCCTCAGGAACCAGAGCAAGAGTACTACAGGTGTGCTTGCCTTGCATGCAGCCAACCTGGGTTGACCCCCTGCATCCCATATGGTCCCCTGAGCCCTGCCAGGAGCAATTTCTGAGAACAGAGCCAGGAGTAAGTCCTGAGCACCACCAAGTGTGGCCCAAAAACAAAACAAAACAAAAAAAAAAAAAAGAAAATTTTGCCTCAGTTAAATTTTGCCTTATTGAAAATAAACTCAGGCATAAATTTTAATGAATTCACTCAATAGTTATATACAGACTTCCCTGTTATCCGAAAGTGGAATGTCCTTATCCTCTATTATTTGGTATGGTATTAGAACAATATTTCTTGATCCTATTCCCACCGTGGCCCCCTTCTGAGATTGTTTTCTTCTGTGTTCCCCTCTCCTCCTAGTTGGCTCCCAAATTTCATGGTGTGTCACCTCCCAGCCACTCCCCAATTTACATTCTTCTCACCTGTGGGCTCTTTGGAAGAACCTGGGCGGGGGGGGGCACAGGTTGCCGTATGGTTCTGGGTGAGAAATACTGATCGGGAGGATCTGGAGATACTAAACTTTTCCTGTATGAACGAACAGTAAAATATTCCAAGACTCAAAAAATAACCCACCAAATCCTACCAAATAGGGATGCTCTATTTTCAAAGAATAAAGGAAGCCTATAGATGACAGTCAACAGAATGTCCCTGAGACCCTAGGGCTGCTCTGAAATGGGACGCTGACTCTATTTATTTTGTGGGGGCACACCTGGTGGTGTGGGGGCTTGCTCCTGGAGCTGCTCGGGGAACTGTGTGCTGTGAGGTACCTCCTGCATGCAACACCTGCACTTAGTCCTCTGAGCTTTTAACTCCAGACAGATCCCTCAGATGAGAACTGAGGGAACTGACTTGAAGCCCTTTACTTAAAATTAATATTCCAAATCCATAATGAAGTCTTGGAAAAGCCACTCAAATTTTTCTTGCAGAAGGAGTTTAAAAGTTAAGGCTACTTTCTGAATCTTCTCATTTAGTGGGTCAGTTATAACCTACGTTAATTTCAGTCTTGTTCGTTTCTCTCTTATGAAAATGCCAAAATGAATATGGAGTCAGACTCTAAGTGTTATGGGAATACTGATTAAGGGTCTTGGGGATTTTGGTGAGGAGGTATCACTGTGTACATTAGTCATGAACATCAACACTGCTGTAAACGTGCTGATGAAGCTGCAACAATAATAAGCTACACTTCCTAATTTCTTTCTACTAATCATAAAACATCATTGTGTCCTACAAAATATTTTGTATATTTTAAAATTGATCATTGATCTATTGCAAAACTATTGGTAAACCTCCATGGATTTGAATATATAACCTGCAAAAAAAAAAAAGAAATAAAGAAAGAAAGAAAGAAAATGCCAAAATGAGAGTCAAAAAACAAAGGTAGAGTCTTTACCCTTGGGAGATTTTTCCTTTTCCTATTTGTAACTTCTCCAGCGCGGAAATGCTTCCATTCAGTCAAAGTGACAGGCAAAGTGGCATCCTTCGTGAACTTGGACCGCAAATAGGCCTGTGTGTTCTTCAGTTCCATAGTCTTCCGGTAAAGAAATTGAGGTCTGGGAGGAAGCTTCCCAAAACAAGAGAAGATGCACTGGGTTAGGGTAAAATCATCTAGTAAATACTCACGTTTTCAAAGTCAAAGCTATTCCAGAAAAATCTTTATCTTTCCTTTAGAATCATCTCAAATGAGGATATTGCAATTAGTTTTTTCACCATATGTAAAGAAGTTTCTTCTTTTTCAAATTTCAATTTTCACTATACTGAAGTTTAAGTTCTAGGAAACTAAGGTTCATGTCTTCACTGACTCACATCAAACCTTTGCTTCCATGGGCTATAAATGTGTCCAGGGATTTGGCTGGTAATTTAGGTCACTGGTTGATGGGAGATTGAGTGTGGCCAACCACAGTCAAGTGAAACATAGGTCACGGTCACGGTCCTCCCGTTATTCATCGATTTTGCTTGAGCGGGCCCAGTAACATCTCCATCATGAGACTTGTTACTGTGTTTGGCATATCGAATACGTCACGGGTAGCTTGCCTGGCTCTGCCGTGCGGGCGAGATACTCTCGGTAGCTTGCCAGGCTCTCTGAGAGGGGCGGAGGAATCAAACTTGGGTCATCCATGTTGGCTGCATGCAAGGCAAACGCCTTACCCGCTATGCTATCGTTCCAGCCCGAAACATAGGTTGAAGTACTGTTTAATAGAATTCACTTTCTAACTGCTTTTAGAAGTGCTAAAAGCAGGGGCTGATACAAGACACTAGCATCAGCTAGTACTGTAGCTATCAACTGTACAAGAAACAAACCTCCAGCCCCATCAAAAAATGGGGAGAAGAAATGAACAGAAACTTCCTCAGAAGAAACGGCCAAAAGGCACATGAAAAAATGCTCCATACTGCTAATCATCAGGGAGATGCAAATCAAAAACAACAATGAGATATCATCTCACACCACAGAGACTGGCACACATCAAAAAGAACAAGAACAACCAGTGCTGGCGTGGATTTGGGGGAAAAGGGATGCTTTTTCACTGTTGGTGGTAATGCCGACTGGTCCAGCCTTTCTGGAAAACAATATGGATAGTCCTTCAAAAACTAGAAATTGAGCTTCCATATGATGCTGCAATATCACTTCTGGGAATATGTCAGAAGGGTCCAAAAAAGCACAGCAGAAATGATAGTTGTGCCTATATGTTCATTGCAGCACTGTTCACAATAGCCAAAATCTAGAAACAACCCGAGTTCCCGAGAACAGATAACTGGTTAAAGAAACTGTGGTACATCTACATAGTGGAAAACTATGCAGCTGTTAGGAGAGATGAAGTCATGAAATTTGCTTATAAGTGGATAGACATGGAGAGTATCATGCTAAGTGAAGTGAGTCAAAGAGAGGGACAGACATAGAAGGACTGCACCTATTTGTGGAATATAAAATAACATAATATGAGACTGACACCCAAGGACAGTAGACAAAAGGGTCAGTAATATTGCCCCGTAGTTGAAAGCCTGTCTCATGAGCGGGGGGAGAAGGCAGTTGGAATAAAGAAGGGATCACTAAGTCAATGATGGTTGGATGGGAAATGTGTGCTGAAAATAGATAAAGGACCAAACACGATAACCTCTCAGTATCTGTAATGCAAATCATAATGACCTAAAGTAGAGAGAGAGTATGGGGGAAATTGTCTGCTATGGAGGCAGGGGGAGGGTTGGAAAGGGGGGGGTATACTGGGGACATTGGAGGAGGAGAATGTGCACTGGTGGAGGGATAGGTGTTTGATCATTGTAAGACTGAAACTCAAACATGAAAGCTTGTAACTTTATCCTATGGTGATTCAATAAAACGACAACAACAACAACAACAACAACAAAAAGCAGGGGCTGAAGAGAGGTTACCTAGGGGCTGACCCGGTTATATACCCAGCATGCCATATTGTCCCCCTGAGCACTGGGAGAGCACCTCAGCAGTGTTTCCTGAGCAAAGTCAGGAGTGATCCTTAAGTATCACCAGGTGTGACCCAAAAAAACAAAACAAAAAGTACTAAAAGCAAAACATAACCACACCTTCCCCCCACCCCATCCAACTACCCTTCAAAAAAGAACCAACACCCAGTAATGCCTACAGTTCTAAGCCTTGTATTTTGGGCCCAAGTTAAACCATCTTAACCTTTCTGTAGAAATAATAAAGATTCTAATATTCTCTTATGTTAATTCCTTTTTTTCTTTTTGGGGCACACCCAGCGAAGCACAGGGGTTACTCCTGGCTCATGAACTCAGGAATTACTCCTGGCGGTGCTCGGGGGGTGGGGAGGGGGGGCATATGGGATGCTGGGAATCGAACCTGGGTTGGCCATGTGCAAGGCAAACGCCCTACCCGCTGTGCTATTGCTCCAGCCCTCTCTTATACTAATTCTTAAGTCATACCTTAAGAGGTGTTTTGAAAGTAGTTTTAGGTGGTGGAAACTTCCACGCTGAAGGGGACCTCCACACTGGCAGGGGCTGCAGTGGAATATCTTCATATGGATTTTCCTTGGAGGGATCTTGAAAGACAAATGGAAAAAAAACAAGTTAAAAGCAAATGCAGGTAAAAGGAGACAAAGTAACTACAGCTGGGAAGAGCAGTAAAAGTGAGACAAAATCTCTACTCTATACTGCAAGAGGGAAAAAATTAAATTAAAACTCAAAAAAAAAATACTAGTCTGTCACTCTACTTCTGAACTCAGCAGTCCACTAAACAAATCATAAAATTCAGTAACTAAAATGTGAAAGAACAAACAAAATTCAGTAATGAACTTAAACAAATTCTTCCTTATCAGAAAATTTTGGACCAAGGCACATGTGATTATAAAACAAAGCACCATCCTACAGTTAAGAGTTACACCAAATACATACTCATTAAACTAAACTTAATTTCAAGGTTTGTGGACACCTACAAATGATATCCTCGTAGATATTGTCCTCAGATTGGGTATAATAAAGTGCCGAGCCAGAATTTCTCCCAAGCTCTTGATGAATCTTCTGTGCATTCCGACTTCGAAAGTGCTGAATATCTTCAAATTCAAAGGATTTCCTTAAAGAAAGAAGACGTATTTTAAAGTTGTGTTTTATAAAACTCGACTTGGAATTGTCATGATGGGGTAGGTGGTATTGACTCAGGCCTTGGGTTTGTCCCTGGGCACAGCATGATCCCTCCCCTTTCTGCACCCCACTGAGCCTGAGCACACTGGATAGGGCTCCCCATCAAGTATAAGTAAATCAATATGCTAGAAATTGATAAGGACTGTGTACAAAACAACAAAAGTGCTTTATCAGATAACTGAAAATCATATACTAGATTGGTGCCCAATAGGAAATTCGAAGATTTTGGCCAAATCACATTCAAGTTCTTCACTGGCTACCAATATTAATGGCACCCTTGAGTGTGAAGTGACACCAAGGTCTTTATGCCCTAAATGAATTAAGAAATGTACTTGCTTCCCTATGCATTTTTTAAAAAATTATTTATTGAATCACCGTGAGAGCGGTTACAAAGCTTCCGGGTTTAAGTCTTGGTAATACAATGATAAAACACCCATCCCTTCACCAGCGCACATTTTCCACCACCAAAAACCCCAGAATAACCCCGACCCCACATCCTCCCCCTACCTGCGGGGCAGATGATTTCTACATTACTCTCTCTCTCTCTATTTTGATTACATTCAATATTTTGACACCAGGCCCACCATTATTATTTGGGTTTTTAGCCCAACAGTCACATCTGCCAAAAAGGCAACATTAGACAATTTTTCTATTGCTGATTATGAATAGAATATGATGTTGTGCAACTGCGGTAGTGGACGTGCAAGTTTGGAATTCTGATAATTAAATCTGGAGGGATTTCTGCCAAAAGCCACTGGGTTCCGAGATTTGTTTCTGAGTCTCTGGGATTATGGCTTAAGCATCTTATTAGCCAGAGGGCCTGTTCATGGGTGGCGACTCAGGGCCTCGTTGGGGCGGGGGGAGGGAAGGGCCGGCCCCACCCCCATCCCATGAGGCACCAAGTGTCTCATCACTGTGCGCCCCAACCTGGCTGTCAATTGGCCTCTGGAAGATGGTGGACCCGAGCTGCCAGGGGGAATAGGTGGTAGATCAGTACCTTTTCCCACTTGGGGTGGCCCGGGGCTGGTAACCTACTGTGGAGTCTGGACGCATTTCTGCCAAAAGCTGCTGGGTTCCGAGATTTGTTTTTGAGTCTTTGGGATATGGCTTAAGTCACTTGCTGAACAGCCAGAGGCACCCTATGCATTTTTAAAGCTATAGAATGGAAGTTTATCTGGTGCTCTGATGTTGGTATATACCCTTCGATTTTGAACTACACTCCTATCTCCTCTTGTATTTCCCCCTTGGTTTCATCAACACCTGTGCAATCAAGATAAGACTGTAACTCACGCAAGGAAATAGAAATTGGTTTGAAAAGGGGAACAGAGACAAGGAAAGAGGACAGGTGTTCCAGCCCCAGCACAAGGCCTTGGAAGCAACACTGGGTGCAGCCCTGGAGGGCTACCAGGATTGCCAGGATGGCCCTGGGGGTCCTGGTTCCTGAGCTCAAACCTAAAACTGCTGGTCTTGTGGGCAAAGTATCGCCAGGAGAGTCTCTAGGATCCAATGAACACAGCTTTGAGGGGGACGCCCCCCCCAACCCTCTGTGAAAGAAAGGAAAGAAGAAGGAAGGGAGGGAGGGAGAGAGAGAGGGAAAGAGGTAGCAAGGAAAGAAGAAAGGAAGGAAGGAAAGAAGGAAAAAAGGAAGAAGGGAGGGAGGCAAGGAGGGAGGGAGGGAAGGAAGGAAGGAAGGAAGGAAGGAAGGAAGGAAGGAAGGAAGGAAGGAGGGAAGGAAGGAAGGAAGAGTTCAATAATTGTGTTTGGAAAATACTTAAAAGTCTTAACTGATCAAATAAAACCGTACCTTTTAGATCTCCCCCTGATTTTTCCAGTATATTTCTTTGGTTCAGGTTCCTGAGAAGAGGCTAAAGGGGCCTCTGCACATGAATGATTTTCACAGTATTTTCTGTCACAGTTTCTCTCTGGATGAGGCGTAACACCAGACTCAGACAAATATCTAAATGTCCTCCGAGGCTTGGGCAGAGGATTTATAGAAGGTCCACATTCTTGCCCCTCTGGTTCAGAGTAAATGTTCTCCAAGCTCTTGGTTACTCCATACGAACTATTGAGAACTCTGAAATCCAGTTCTTTTTCTGAAGAATCACAATGTTCTAAAGCCAAATTGAAGCATAATCTATCTGGGGGAAGCGCTTCTATTTTCTTCCACAATATTTGTGAGGTGTAGAAGTTCCCTGGAGGGAAGGTGGTTTCTGGGTCCAGAACGACGTCACTCTGGGTCTGGCTCTGTCCGACCTGGGCACGCGCCCACGTGGGGCTGGATTCGTTTCTGGAGACCAACTGGTCCGCGTACTGGTGCTTCTCCCCCTCGTCCTCACTCTGCTCACTGCTTTTGGAGGCTTCATTACGACAGTTAGTTAGAGCTAATCTTTTGCTCCTTCCCTCAGCAACAGGATTTTTCTTAAGAATCTCTGGGTGACAGTGATTGTATCTCACCCCAAAATCTTTGGGATGCCACTTGTCTGGAGTGGCTATACCATTAGTTCTTCCTTCCCACTGAGAAATTTTTTGTTTGATGTTTTTGCAGTGGCTTCTTGACAGTGTCTGAACTGCAGAACGGGAAAAACCAACATCCATGTTCCCAGCTGGGTGCAGAAGTGGCGAATTTTCTTAAGGTGCCATCACAAATTACTGTGAAACACTGTATCCTTTATTCTGTCTGTCAGAATCCACACTATTCCAGTTTCTTTCATTTTTTTAACTTGGAAAATGTTCTTCTAAAAGAAAGGTTTTGATGATTAATCCTCCTTGAAAGTGGTTGCGACTTTATTTTGAATACCTCTATAAAAATAAGAAAAGAAAACTGCAATTGTTTTGTAATTTATCTTGAACCCAGGCCCTCACTCTACAGTGCAAGGGTGCTACTGCTCAGCCAACTCCCAGAGAAGCATTCCTAAGATGCTGATGTAATGATACAGGGAAAAGATTACTCATGGTGTCTCTCAAACTGTCAGATTTAATCTTAGGTCATATTTAATTTCCCCCAAATTACAAAGTTACATAAGAGATTATACATTACATATAGCATAATATATAGTATTTTAAAATAAACATTTCTTTTCTCTCTCTTGCTCCCTCGCTCTTTCTCTCTCTTCTCTCTCTCTCTCTCTCTCTCTCTCTCTCTCTCTCTCTCTTTCTAGGTGTTTTGGGCCACACCTAGTGGTGCTCAGGGTTATTTCTGGCTCTGCACTCAGGAGTTACTCCTGGCAGTGCTCAGGGGAATATATGGGGTGTTGAGGATCAAACTCAGTTGACATGTGCAAGGCCTTAAGCGCCTTACATGCTGTACTATCTCTCTGGCCCCTAAACTGATTCTTTATGAAACTTTCTTTTAATGAAACAAGAACATAATAATATAGAGTGTATACTTATACAGAAATGCAACAACCAAAGACTCTCACAGATGTAAAGTGCTTAACTGCATGCAAAATAAGCAAATAAGCAAAAGTATATGAACACATTCAGAAAAAAGCCAGTCTGGAAACACATCATTTCCTCCTCCTGCCCTATTTTAAGACATAATATTAGCCTATTATATGTCCTTATTTCCTATTAGCAGCACAGGTTTTCCATATACATGGTGCTAAAGACAATCCAAGGTGCCATAAACCAAGAGTTGTTTACAATGAAAAAACTTCTCATTGACTCAACTTTCCACATTTCTGCCAACACACTCTTGGTCCAAGTCAGCAGAAATACTTACAGTTACTGCCACATTCTTTTTTTTTCACATAGAATCGTTACTCAATTAGGTCCATAAACTGTTTCCTCAAATGTAAAATTTAAAAACAAAACTTTTTCTGTTGACTGAGTGAAGACCTGATCTCAAGTTCTACTGTGTTCAAGTCATAAATAGCAACTCACTCAAAGCTTCCTGAGACAGGATCATCCTTCCGTGAGTTTTGTCTGTGTGGCCTTGATTAATGGACAGGAAAATGTCTTGGCCCAAGTCTGTCACGATAGCTGACCAACACTCCCTCCCCCCCACCTCTCTCTGTCTCCCTCTGTCTCTGTCTTTCTGTCTCTCTCTGTCTCTTTGTCTGTCTGTCTGTCTGTCTCTCTCTCTCTCTCTCTCTCTCTCTCACACACACACACACACACACACCCCTTGATAAATCAACTGATGATCAGGACTTTCATCAATTTTTACTTAACAACCTAGCAAGTTTGTAAGAAAACTAGTTTTGCAAACGAACTTTTGTGAGGGTCTTATGCAAACAAAATGATTAAAAAAAACTAAACTCATGGGGCTGGAACAATAGCACAGCAGATAAGGCGTTTGCCTTGCACACGGCCAACCCAGGTTCGATTCCCAGCATCCCATGGTCCCCTGAGCAATGCCAGGAATGATTCCTGAGTGCATGAACCAGGATGCACTCCTGTGCATCGCCGGCTGTGACACAAAAAAGCAAAAAAAAAAAAAAATTAAACTCAGGACTGGAGATAGTGCAGTGAGTAAAGCACCTGACTTGCACGTAGCCAAGCCAGATTCTATCCCTGTCACCAAATATGGTCTCCCAAGCTTGAGCCAGGAGTGATCCCTGAGCACAGCTGTGATTCCCCGAAAGCCCCCCTCTAACATCTCCAAAGGTCTAGAGAGATAGTACAGAGGGTAAGGCCTCTGTCTTGCATGCATCTATGGCAGATGTTAGCCAGCTCAAATCACAAGCACCACGTATAGGCCTCCGAGTACCTCCAAGAAAAGTCTCTGAGAACTGCTGGGGGTGGTCTCAAAACAGAACAAACAAAAACTAAACTTATGTGGATAGAAAAAAAGAAAAAATCAAACTACAAAGGCTATTGTGAAGAACTCTTGATAAAAGACTATGTAATAGGGGTTGGAGGGATAGTACAGTGGATAAGGCACTTGCCTTAAATGTGGCCAACCAGGTTCAATCCCTAGCACCCTGAGCCCACCAGGACTGATGCTTGAGCTCAGAGTCAATATACACACTCGACACATTAAAGGGTTGATATTCAGTATATATAAAATACAAAGATCTACAACAATAAAAAATTCAAAACCCTATAAACATGGGAAGAAGGAATGCGGACATTTCTCTGTAGACGACAGAAGAGTGGCCAAAAGGCGCACGAGAAAGTGCTCATAACACTTATTATTAGGGAAATCCAATTCAAGATGATAACGAGGTATCTCAGACCAGGGAGAATAACATATATCAAAAGTACTGGTAACAATCTGTGTTGGCAGGGGTGTGGTGAAATAGGAACTTTCATCCACTGTTGGTGGCAATATTGTCCCATTCAACCCCTCTGGAAACAGTATGGAGACTTCTCAGCAGAGTAAGATTTGAGCCAAATGAGCCAGGAATTCCACTTTTGGGTATCTCGCTGGATTAAGCATCTCTATGTTTTTCTTACAGGTACTTTATGGTTGACTAGTCCTCTAATCTATTCCTAGCACCTCGCTTCCTGGCACCTCCTCTTCTTACCTGTACAATCCTTTTGGTGTATTTTTTTTTGCACCCAATAGTGTTCACAGTTTAGTTCTGGTTTTGGGCTCAAGGATCACTCCTAGTGTGGATGGGGAGATCATATGGGTGCCAGGGATGAAGCCTGGGCCGGCAGAAATCGGTGTGTGCAAGGCAAGTGCCTAACTGCAATAGTATCTCTTCGGCCCCTAAGATCCTTTTGTTGGTGGCGGTGGGCGGGGAGGGGGGTATTAAGGGGAAAGGCTGTAGCACAACTAGCAGTGCTCAGGGACAACTCCTGCATCTATGCTCAGAGGTTGCACTAGCAATGCTCAGGGGGAACCATGTGATGTTGGGGATCAAACTGGAGTTGGCCACCTGAAAGGCAAGCGCCTTAACCCCTGTACTCTCTCACCACAAAGAAATCAATTTATGATTAGTGGGGGGATGCACCCTGGACCATACAGTGCCAGGAATTGAAACTGGGCCTCCCTAATGCAAAGAATTTGCTTCAGGGGCTGGAGAGATAGTACATCAGATAAGGCACTTGCCCTGCACAAAGCTGACCCTGGTTGAGTTCCCAGCACCCCATTTGGTCTCTCAAGCTCTGAAAGAAGTGACCCCTGAGCACAGACACAGAAGTAAACCAGTAAACCTGCTGAGTGTGGCCCAAAGAAAACAAAAACCAACAACAAAAAGAATTTTTTCCAATCCTTTGAGTTATCTTTCTGCCTCCTATAATACCATCCTTCTCCTTCACTTCTTTCCGTATCTCCACATTCTTTTTTTTTTTTTTTTTTTTTTTTTTTTGCTTTTTGGGTCTTACCCGGGGTAGCACAGGGGATTTTTGCTTTTTGGGTCATACCCAGGGTAACACAGGGGTTACTCCTGGCCCTGCATTCAGGAATTACTCCCGGAAGTGCTCAGGGGACAATATGGGATGATGGGATGCTGGGAATTGAACCCAGGTTGGCCACATGCAAGGCAAATGCATACCCGCTGTGTTATCACTCCAGCCCCATCTCCACATTCTTTTAATCCTTAAGTTGACTCAGCTTTCAAGACCTAGATTCTTCCAAAGCTTCATCTTTTGCAAACTCTCTAAAGCCAAAGTACTTGTGTAATTTGTCCCTAGAGATAGCTTTCTCCAGATATCCAACAGTTCTACTAAACAGAGGTTGAGAAAATGTGCCAGCTTCAACAATTTTAAAAACTGTTTTGTTTCTTCTCGGGAAACCCCAAAATGAGCCAAAGACTTCTCCAATTATTAAAGACTATTTATAGGCCTCACAAAAAGAAAAGTAGAACAGGGTCTGTTGCAATAGCACATGGGTAGGGCATTTGCCTTACACACAGCTGTCCTGGGCTCCATCCTTGGCAGCATATATGCTTCCCTGAGCTTGCCAGGAACAATCCCTGAGCACTTCCAGGGGAAGGAAGGAAGAAAGGAAGGGATGAAGGAAGGGAGGGGGAGGGACGGAGGGCACACAAATAATCACAATGGACAATTTCAACAGAAGAAATGAATATAATCACTCAGCTCTGCAGATGAAATAAGTATCAACATTAAAATCAAGGCTGATTTTAAAAGTGGAATAAAACAAGAGTTAAAGTAAAAAGTATGATTTCAGTTTTTCTGTTCTTTGTTTCCAAAGAGATTTGGGCGGGGGGATATTCTACGGTGCTCACAAGCTGCTCTGACTGTGCTTAGTAGTGACTACTGGCAGTGCTTGGACACCATATGTCATGCCAGGGATTTGAACCATGGCCAGCGGAATGCAAGGCAATATTTTCAATAAATATAATTAGGACAAGCGAATATCCATATGGTAAAAATGAACTCTGGTCCCTACACACACCATTAAAAAATTAATTTTAAATGTATATTAACCTAAGAGCTAAAACTACACACATTCTGGGGCTGGAGAGACAGCACAGTGGGTAGGGTGTTTGCCTTGCACGCGGCCGACCCGGGTTCGATTCCCAGCATCCCATATGGTCCCCTGAGCACTGCTAGGAGTAACTCCTGAGTGTAGAGCCAGGAGTAACCCCTGTGCATCACCAGGTGTGACCCAAAAAAGAAAAAAAAAACCAACTACACACATTCTATAGAAAATACACAAAAAGAAGACATGAAATTAAACACCATAAACTTCAAAGGTAAACAGAAAAAAATTATAAAAGACACCTAAAATTGAGAGTCACAGAATGAGGGGAGAAACCACAGACATCCAACAAGACGAATATCAAGGTAAATTCATAATATACAAAGAACTATTACAACCAAATGGTAAGACAAGCAAGACATGAAAACATGGTAGATATAAACACTTTAAAAGCATTTTGAAT